ATCTCCCCGACCTCATCCAACCCACCGTATGATAATCATTCCTCCTACCTCTATCGACATTTCTCTCCCAATGTACAGGGACGGATATCTAATCTTTGTAGAATCATATGACGGATCACTTCGTTCCGGAGTGGAAATCTACGATTGAAATAGTGCTATGTACTCTCAAAATAGAATAGACCTACTTTAAACCACTTCCATAGAGTGGAATCCACCAAGCAGGCGCGGATCCACGGGGGTGACTGGCCTGGCCCCCTGCCCCCCCCCCCCCCCCACCAAAAAAAAGAATTTTCTCACGAATAAGCCCCCCCCCCAAAAAAAAAGTGCTCTCACCCACCCCCCCCCCCCCCCCCGCTTATTCACCAGCTGGCTGAGTCGCAACTAAATATTTTCTCACGGATTGCCCCCCCCCCCCCTCTTGCTACCGGCTGGATCCGCCACTGCCACCAAGTTACGTATATTGATCACTCTTCCTACTTTCATCGACCTTCCCCTATTGGTGTTAAAGGGTGCAAACAATCCAAATATGTTTTTTTTTCTTCAAAGGGCTCTTTGGGGGTAAAAGTTATATGACAAGCGTTTCTACGAACCCTTTTAAAATTTCATTTCAAAAAGGGGACTTCCCGATAATATGCCCCCTAATGATTAAGAATGCGCGGTCTACAATACAAAGTTTCTTTATTTTAACATTAATTGCACTGAAAATTATATAAGTAACACTTTTCCACGAAATAAGGACTTATTTTGTAGTCAGGCTTAAAAGGATAAACTTAATTAGACAAGTAATTAATAGACAAGGCTCTCTATGCCGTCGACGAGTAAGTCAAAGAATTAAGCCGCCAAACTCAGTATAATATCCATGAAAATAATTTTTCTTCCTTAAAACTCACTCTTCTTTCATCTTCCTAAAGGCCGGGGCCTGGTGGAGTTCTTACACACTTTTTCATGTGGTATATACAGTTAACAAATAAATTATTCATACCCTTACTAACTTTGGTAATCTTTGAAGTATTTGAAAAATTGATTTGTCCCTATTTCCGTTTCTTGAGAAAGTGGCATATAAAAGGTACTATGTCCCATTTGCAGGCCAAAAAATGAAAAAGTTAAATTCCAACTGCATTTGAAAGATAATACTAATTTAGAACTTCCCTAAAAAAGGTGGGGCTTGAAAATGTCTTGAAGTGGGAAAATAACAACTATTAGTTGTCAAATCGACTTTAGGGCTATAGAGCCCAAAAGTAATAGTCTTGATTTTCAGACAATTGTACCGAATGGTCATATGCGTTTTATGCTGCGCAAAGATTCAATCAGTTTAATCTTGGCCATCACAAGAAGTGGGTTATTGATGTAGACAAATGCTCATGTACCCTTTACAACTCTTTTCATGTATGTTATAACCAAAGAAGAAAAAGCCAGTCAGTCACTCAATAGTGTCTGACAGTGAAGTCTAGCAAGTAAACGGGTTTCCTTGCATAAATTATGAGGACACTGCTAACGTTTAAATTTCACAGATAGGACATACATGACATATTCATAATTCCTGCAAAGTTCTACAGCATTTGAGGTTGGCTGCAAAAGGGACATAGTACCTTTAAAGCTAACATCTAAAAGTATTCAATAAAAGCCATAATTCAACCAGGCCACCTTTCACTTTTGAGTTACGAAAAGCACAAGGAACATCAAATTTATAGGGATATCGATATTTTGTGTTAACTGTACGCAAAATATATACCATACCTTCAAAAAAGAAATTCCATCGAATTCAAGATTGTGCGGTAAGAAACATGCGTGCAAAGAAATGAATAGATGTATTTAGAAATTTGTCATCATCTGCCACCAGGGTCACTAATTTTGTTTGAATTGCAGTTGACAAGGAATTTGCTAACAGAATGGATGATTATGTTAATGAAACGAAGCATAAAGGAGTGTGGCCATTACCCATACTTCTTTTAGATCCTATACTTAAAATGTTTTTTAAAAAACTTTGTTTCCCTTTCCACAATTCCATCATACAGCATATCCATTTGTATATATATATATATATATATATATATATATATATATATATCTATATATATATACAAATAATTAAAGAAATAATTTTCATATATAAAAAATAACAATCATCACGACCGAAAACTTTGTGGCAGATAAAAGCAAACATTTATGACCAAATTAGTATTTTAAATAATAAGAAAATACCAAACATGAAATGCATGACCATATTCGGGTTGGCACATTTCCAACACTCTCAAAATATTTTCTAATGTGAAACCATTTCTTTATCAAATTATTTTCTCCGAGATTTTTGTTTGTTTATGTATTTTTTTCATTTCATAATAACGTTTTACAGCTGATAAAATTATATCAAATAAAGGTAGTTGATTTCATTATTTGGCTAAAAGTATTTCTTGTCTTACAACCATCAGAATACAATTGAGTGCATTATTATTGCTACCGCAAAATCCGAACAATTTATTTTGATTTGTAAGTATGATCCTTTCCCCCGTTTTACGAAATATTCAGAACTCAAATTTCGACCATACTTCATTAGAATAGTTACAAAGGCAAAGAACATGTATGATAGTTTCATAATTCCTATAACAAAAAAGTATACTTCTTGCAAGCCACTACACCAAGGTATCCTTCATATATAATATCATGTTTAAAATCTTGATTTGAAACCACCTCATGTTCATATCTATTGTTGACTGAAATGTAACAGTACAAACCCCAAAATTCATCTTGAACATCTAAACAACTTGTTCACTTTGTGAGAGCTTTACATTATTTTACCTTGTATTTTAGAAAAGATTGATAAATATGTAAACAACCAACTTTTGTTTTGACCACAAGGTGCACGGCTTAGGGAATGATAGGTTCTAAGGCCTTTTTCTGAAATAATATGAGCCCATATACAAGTGAAAAAATAGGTTTGGGGCAAGAATGAATTTAACATGAGGAAAGCTTTCTAACTGAGAATCAATTAAAAATCTTCTAACCCTTGATATCTTCAGACATTTAGCATGAATGTAAATATCAATCCTATTAACACTGCCTTTATTATAAAGAGTTGAAACATTTGTTCTCTACGGATTTTATCAGGTTTGTTACCACATATAAAGGCATGAAAAGAACGATCCATGTCTTTCATAATTTGCGAATTCGGATCTGGAAGTGTAAGCAATAAATAGTTCAATTTTGGTACCAACAAAGATTTGACTACATTTATTCTAACGGGGACAGTGAAGGTTCTTTTAGACCATGAAATAATTTGGCGTTTTATATCTTTAATATTTTCAGTATAATTATGATTGACAACCTCTACTAAGTTAACCGAAAAATCTATTCCTAAGAATCTCGAGTAACCTTCTGATACCCGAATTAGTATGTGCTCTGGCAGTAGCTGTTTTTTGCAGGCTCTACTTTTCCCAATCCATATCACATGAGTATTTGTGATATTGATCTTATGATTTGATATTTCCTCAATATCACCCAATATTTTCAGTGCGCTCTGTAAATATTTTTTTTTTACCGTTAAGTGTCATAATGGTGTCATAATCATGCGTATTATAGTAGTAAACTATCTTCTCCCCGATGCAAGCCAATTAAATCATTGCAATATCTAATCAAAATTGCTGATATTTCGCTTACAAGTAGAAAAAGTTATTGCGATAATGGGCCTCCTTGACGACACCCTTGTCCTTTAGTAAATCTCTCTGTGCAAAAAACGTTTACTGTGACACAAGAAGATGCATTTTCATAAAAATAAATGAATCTAATTTTTCAGTGATGACCCAAAATTTAAAAAGTCATGAACATTGAATAGAAACTTGTGATATATAATCGAAGGCCTTTTCAAAATCAGTCATCAACAACATGCCTGGTTTATCATTAAGTTTGGTGTTAATAATATATCATAAAGTAAACGAATATTTTCTCCTATAAAATGGCCTTTCAAAAATCCTTTTTGTTTCGTATGTATCAAGTGTTGCAATACATGCTTTAATCGATTAGCTATGCACCCAGATGCTATTTTGTATATAACATTTAAAAGTGAGATTATTAGTTTTGTTTATACAACACCTACGTGGATCCTTGTCATTTGATTGGAGGATTGTTGGTCACATGATATTCAATAGATGTTATATTGCACGACCGTGCATTTTTGGTTATATGCCGACTGCGTAACACTCTGCCGTGCGCGTATCCCTGTGTGCATCTGACGCGAGGGCAATCTGAATGTATGTAATCAAGAAGGCTTGACTCCAACTTTAATAAATATAAGGAGTAAAGCATAATTTGTTGATTAACGTTCTATTAGTTCTTCACTGATGTTGTATAAAAACAAATAATGAATGTTTTTCATTCGTTCAATAGTGCAAACATTTTCATTCGTTGAAAGATTAACGTTAATTCTATTCAACTCGGCTGACTCCTCGTTGAAAAGAATGTTAATCTTTCAACTCATGAAAATATTCGCACTATTGAACTCATAACCATTCATTATTTGTATTCTAGTAAACGCAATGAGAATGATTACAAAGACATGATCAAAATAAGAGCATATACTTTTGTACTTACCTAAAATATATTCAATCGAAAGAAATGAGTTAATCAAAATATTTTTTGATTATCTAATAAGACCCTCTAGCTCCAGTGAGTGGCTCCAGTGAGCGGATTGTCAATACATCCGAATAAAAAGTAAGTATCAGCTAATGGAGCCATTTAATGATAGGCGGTAAAAAGAGACACGGCAGAATTCAGCAAGGCGTGAGCAGTATTGCGAAAGAGAATTTCAGGCAATATTGGCAATATCCTTCCATGCATGTTTTACTTTTACTTATGAATTTTTTAAAAAATCCAATGAAGCTGATACATGAATTTTGCAAAAAGCATTACAAAGCTATCTTCAGCAATCTCGTAACACTCTTTAATCTCAAGGGCAGTTTGCCTCGTCGTATTACCCGATACAAATGATAAATGATATTTCTACTTACTATCCTCTCGAATATGCTTCCCCGCCTTTCCAAGTTCTTGCAATCTTTTATTCAGGCTCTCAAATTATCTCTCAAGTCTTTCAAAACCTAATCACAGTTTCGAAGAGTATGGAAACACTGACATCAGTCACACAGTCATCTTTGAAATGGAATGTGATGCCGAGAAAAACACATATATGTGGCGGCGAAAGAGGTAAGAGATGGTGTTGGAGAAGATATATTTGTTAATGCAGCATCACCATGACAGTGGGCAAAAAACGCAAGTAAGAATAATTAACCATTATTTTAACTCGACCATATGAGATTGTGCCCTAGGCGTACGCGAGGAAAATCTTCAAGTGATTGACAAAGGGCAGCACGAGGCTCTAAACGTGTTTTTCCCAAGAGGATTTTTTTTTTCTCTTGTTTTCTCGGGTGGTTCAGCTTTTTGCATCTACCATGAAAAAAGTTATCAATGTACCTCAATGAATATAAGTAATGTTTTCTCCTTCCTGCGCTTGAAAAAGACTGAGGCACTTTCTTGCCCTCGGGCTCTTGCCTATTAACTACTCTCAATATGGGGGGAATCAGGTTTCTAAGTAGAAAAGCTTTTATGTACATATGAGTGCTCATTTCCGACTGAAAATGATGTTATTGAAAAACCGATAGTGCATAATCCGATTATCACTTTATATTTAGAAAGAATGAAGTACATATTGTATTTTTTCGGTAGAAGAGATTTTAAGAGCTTTCAAGGCATTGAAACAGAGGAGGCCAAGAGGTAAGCCCCCGAAAGGCCAGCAAGCAAAACCAAGGAGATACCAGCCGGTAACTCCTTTTTGAAACAAGAGGGAAAGAAAGAAATACTAGAGGGAGAGGTAAAGACAAGGTGAAAAGCAAAGAAAATAATGTTGTATATGACATCATCCTATCAAACCCTATCATATGATTGCATATTTCTCTCACGTCTCATTCTTCTAGTCAGACCGGGGAATTCGACACCATTCAGCCTTTCAGTTTTTTGACCAACAGGCCTTATGTAATGTACTACTTTTTTTATCCACACCCCCCCCCCCCCCACATGGTAAAGTCATTGTCTTACCAACAGGCCTTATGTATTTCAGCCTTTCAGTTTTATGACCAACAGGCCTTATGTAATGTTCTACTTTTTTATCCACACCCCCCCCCCCGCCTACATGGTAAAGTCATTATCATACATTTCCATTACCATACATTTCCATTACCCGAAGACTCTCTCAGAGACTAAGGGGGGGATCTTTTGGTGGGATCATGGGTTTTTCCACCAATTCTGCATGGTGTCAGTAAGTTATGATCTTCTGCACATGGAAACTGACAGCCATCAGAGATGAGAACGGGACACGAGAGTACTTTACATGACTAAGATGGGAGAACACAGACACAATACAAAAAGTACACAATGCCAAAAAAGAAGTGATAGAGGTTAATGGGTAAATAGGTACCTGACAGGAATTAATTCCTTGAAATGCTGGAGCGCTGTAATGGCAGCTAGGCTAAAGCCGAGGTATTAATAAATCCGCCTCGGAATAGAATTTCTAGATAGACGGTGCTATAGAAATGCCTATTATTATTATTATTATCATTACAGAAAATAATACAAAATTAGCAGGATTAGCTGCATGTGGTGTTGAGAAGAAGATGAGGAAGGAGATCTGCGCATTTGAAAGGAGATATGCATGAGAGGGCACAATATAATATATCAAATTACATTTTGATTAAGAGAGTAGAGAATGACCATAATCCAAAAAAGAAGGGGGAAAAGTTTGAAAAGATATATAGAAAAACATGAGGTCGGAGCAAGAATAAATAGGCGATACAATTCAATAAGGTTCATAAGATTGTAATGAAAAATAATTACATTTTTTTAATTAAATTGACGGAGCATTTTTTAAATATTATACCGGGATCTAAGAAAAGCTATTTTTGAATCAATGCAATTACAGTTACAGAAATCTGACTTAATCAACTTTGAGAATAAGACCGAACTCTTCTCGAATATTTTTAATTATTTTTTCGAGTAGGAGCATACACTTACTTCCCTAGTGTTCTTTATGAAGAAGAGTCTATTTTTACGTTCCGGCAAAATACAAAGCTAATCTTAATCACGTTGATGATAATACTTGAACTCCTCTCAGTTCTCACCATACCTACTAATACGAGTGATTGACGTACATCGTGCACTTGATCCCTTATACAGTGTGGGTGAAGAAAAAAAAGTTTACACCTAAAAAATTGCTAATTATCTTATAAATCATCTATGATCAGTAAATTATCATACATCTTATGAAAGAGTGTTTTATTCCAAATCACTTGGTATCATTTTTAGTGGTATGTGTTCACGCTTGGATGAACAGGAGGCATTGTTTGCGAGAGTGCAAAAATCTACTTGCGCCAAGGTGATGCCTACAGCTATGTTGGGATTAGCGGAGTGAGAGAATGAATTGAATGTATTAAATGTAATGCATTGCATATGCTTTTTGCAGAGGCAAAGTCACACACACGTGCACAAATGTTTGTTGATATTTGAGATTCGATAATTGACATGTGTGGGATGATTAATTTTGTTAGGAATGTTATTTCGATCTGCAAAGACCGAATTAATGCCCAAATCCCAATTGTTTTATTTAAACATCACATAAGCAACTTTGGTGCAAGTCGATTTTTGCATTCTCGCAAACAATGCCTCCTGTTCATCCAAGCGTTAACACATACCACACAAAATTGATACCAAATGATTTGGGATAAAACACTCTTTCATAATATGTGTAATAATATACTGTTCATAGATGATTTTTAAAATAATTAGCAATTTTCTAGGTGTAAACTTCTTTTGACTCACACTGGTATGTAAGCTGAAGAGAATAAAAGGACTTAAAGTTATCTAACTCTAGTAAAACAGTTCAATCATAAGTGACTTGTAACATGTTTAAGGAGAAAGCCAAACTGATGGAAACTGAAGATTATATAATATGTCCCTTTCGGCAATTCTTCTCTTAGAAAGAATGTAAAAGGACGTGTAGAATTGTATATTACCTCTAATATTTGACCAAAAATGCCTTCCACTTTGTGAGAACACAATTTTTTTAATATACAAGATGAAGAGAGAGTTGTTCATTTGGAAACTTTCTTATTCTTTGTCAGAATTTATTGTTCACTTGTTTAAATATCTCATTCCTGTTTTTTCTATTGTATTCAATATACTTGCATTACGAATTTTCGCGCTAAACCACCTCATAACCTTTTCAAAGTAATAGACTTTTAAGTGTTCTCTTGAAAAATAATATATTAAGAGATATGTATGCATTGTCTATTATAATAGACTTTCAAGTGCTCTCTTGAAACTAAAAATATTATGAGATATGTATGCATTGTCTATGAAATAAGCTCCCCCCCCCCCCCCCCCCCCACCAATCCGTCGTGTTCATTGACTTAGTTAGTAGGCATTTTTTCCAAAAAGAGCCAGGGACCTATTTACACTACTTTTTAAATTGTGTGAAGGTCAATTAGTTATGGTAATTTATCATTGAAAACTCCGATTTAATTGAATTAAGAGGTATGGAATGGCGAGATATATTTTTAAGGTCGTCGGGTTACTCGAAGAGAATTAAGTTTGTGAATACTATCATAATTTTGTTGAAATATAATTTTGTTTTAAATTGCTATTTCACGATAAACTGTGTATTAGATGTTTACACCATTCTCTCATACACACACACACGCACACTTGTTTTGTTTCACCTTAATCTTTTAAAAATTGCATTCAATATTAAAATAGGTACATATCATTCCTCAAAATACAATTTTTTTTCTCATAATAATATAACATAAATCAATTAACTTGATACATCTACAATTAATATATTACGATCTGAAAAAAGAAGAAGAATGAAATCAATTATAATATAAACAAACAGTAACCCGTCCCTTACTACGCAACCACCCCCCCCCCCTAAACAAATCACAATAACACACCAAAATATCATACACATTACACTCACACTCAAGAACATTTCCACACCCACAAACACACATGCACACAAACACCAAACACACAGCAAGTTTACCTGCTCCCATTCATATCCATTTACAAATATCCATTTAAAAATTTGCTATGAGCCCAAACCAAAATGGGAACAAAACGGGTTGCTTCAGTGTAAGTGTGATATAATTTCACTCGGCCGGGGGGGGGGAGATGGAAAAGCTCACGATTTGTTCTCTTCTCCTCATCAACAAGGCCAAACATCCTCCTTAAAATATAAAGATAAATTGAGAGTAAATATTCAATTCACTTCTCATTCTCCCCATTTTTGTAAATGCAACGAAATCATGCCTACCTCGATTGCTAAGTTATTTTCCTCCTCTATAAAATTCGTAATAACTTTTTGTATCTTTACACTGGCACGTTAATAATTACCTTCTGCCCTCGATTAAAAAAAATATATATTTCAACAACATTATGATAGTATTCACAAACTTAATTCTATTCGAGTTACCCGACAACCCTAAAGATATATCTCGCCATGCCATACCCCTTAATTCCATTAAATCGAAGTTTTCAATGAAATAACTATTTGACCTTCACACAATTTAGAAATAAGTGTAAGTAGGTCCCCGGCTCTTTTTTAAAAAATGAGCAGAAACAGTCCTTAGTAAAAACGCAATTTCATCAATTTAGAAATAAGTGTAAGTAGGTCTCTGGCTCTTTTTTCAAAATGAGCAGAAATATGTAGGATATGTACGACTCTGTGTATTAACATGATCTGAAATTATTTGTGTTTCCAGATAAGTGTTGTGCTCCTTGCTCTGTAAAAAGTTCGCATATATTTTATCCCGTGTAGCCTACAGTCAAATTTGTTGTTATCATCTTTTACTAGTCTGTGAAAAAACGATCAAAGCGTTTCCCAGATTTTATAACCTGAAATATTGTTTTCTGCCCAGAAATATTGAAGTTTATATTAAAATCTATAATAATTGGCGAAGCGAGTAGCATTTTTATAACTAGTTAATATACAGTGAGCAATATCGACTATCTGAAGCAATTGATTCGCATTAATCCGAAGACTTTGAAATGAGCCACATGCTTCGCATGACCATTGGCTTTCCTGACTTGTGTCTTTATTAAATAAATCACTGTTAAAAACCTTTGACATATATTTTGTTATTATTAAACGTCACTGGATTAACTTCACGTGCGCACACGCACACACACATAAATACGCACCCACACACACACCCCTGTCTGCCTAGCTCGTACGTCACATATCACGTAACTTTTCATCACCGTAAAAATTATGATAATCCAGCTGGGTAGACTTCATGATGCACGTGCTATCCTATTATCAATGCGATCTCTTTTATTTCACTGCTGCTTACATGCATAAATCAAAATCCTTTTTCTAAACAATACAATTTGTTTGATACAGAGCAATGGGTTTCCCTCGAGAACTGAAGCGTATAGTAATTAGATTGAATTTCTTAGGACAAATACGTAGATAACAATCTGAAAACGAAGTGAAAGGTCGTGAAATATATAATTTGCCTCACTTATTCCACATTTCTTTCCAGGTCACCATTATTAGCGTGTTCATATATAAACCAGTATTTATTCATTCACTTTTAAATCTCCTTGAAATATATTTATGTTTCAATCTCCAAATGAAAGTAAAATGTGGATTATCAGACGGGAAGCCGAATCTTTATGATGAGTGTTTCGGTTTTTGTCTGACATATGATTATGGATTCATGCATTTATAATATTGTGTATTCCTTTTCACATTTTGCATCATTATTGGTAGAAAATGTTTAGAATGTTTGGGAGTTCCTATTCACATATTTGGTTTTACACATATTAAGAGGACAATGGGAAACGATTGAGCACAATTTGCAAGAACAAAGAAATATCCCCCTACGACTCATTTTTCTCACTTATATGCTCACTTATAATAGTTAAGTATAAACAACAAGCATGCAATCATAGTACCATCAAACGTAAATTGAAATTTGTTTTCAAAGCATCTGTCATGTTATGTTCAAATTCAAACAGTGGGACCACAATATAGAGACCTAACGATTGTTTGTTTATTTTTTCGCCGCAGAAAGAATAATAACAAATTTATAGAATTAGGTCGCCGTTTCAGTCCCAAACGATATTTCAGTGATATCATACACTCTTGAAAGAAAAAGGGTAAAGAAGTTGAAGAGTTTTGGGTCAAAATTTACCCCAAATGAATGGAAAATTACAAAAGGAACATAACAATATATTGCACATTAATATTTTTGACACAAGGTAATCAATTATTAAATCATTCTTACTTACCAATTTGGGATTTCCTTATTTATTAGTAAAAAATTGTTTCAAAAATTCACTAAATCTTTTCTTAAAAGATATGTAGATCTGGTAATGACAGAAGATAACATTTCTCTTATACAATCCAAACTCTTATGCCAAAATAAAAATGCTGCCTACGGATATTGGTAGGAACATTAAATGCATTTCAGCTGAGTAATGACAGAAGATAAAATTGCTCTTACACAATCCAAACTCACATTTAATGTCTTATGCCAAAATTAAAATGCTGCCGACGGATATTGGTAAGAATATTTAATGCATATCAGCTAAGTAATGAGGTAAGAAAGATAAAAAGACCTAGCTACTGGTCCCGACCGCGTGATGAGCAATGGAACAAGAAGTATCTGTGATATTTGTTTATGTTCAACCAATAAGTTTATGTATATTTGCCGATCCAAACCACCAAACTACTGCATGATAACAATTCAAAATCATTTTAACCAGCTTCTTTCCAAATCTAGTTTGAGCTTTAACACATCTGAATTAAAATATTTAGAAATCTAAACTTTCGGTGATTTCAAGAGCCCTCGTGAAGTTCCTCATCAGAGCTTTGACGTCATGTTGTCGTCCACATCCACTCCTAACTGGAAAGAGACGGGATAGTTCGGATCGATAATGGCTGGTCTCTCCATGTTGAAACAAGAGATGTCAAAGGTCGTCCTCTCATCGATGGCAAGCTGGCTGAGAATCTTACCAAGCACGGCCGCAAATCTGAAGAGCAAAATATGAAGCGAAGTATTCATTTGGCTAATACTGACTCGAATTTAGAGAGACTGCTGACATGACTTTAAAGAGATTTGTTTGAATGCGTGTGATTGGAAGAAATGAATGATGCGCCTTCGATGCTTTTTACCATGCATCTCCGGGGTGCATCTTTACGTATTTGAATCAAGATAACTGAATGACAAATGTGCTCTTGAGCAAATACCATGAATATGTTGACAGGTTTTTGTTTGGAAACGTGTACCAAATTGATGAGAGTATAAACGTCTCCTTTCATTTGATACAGATAAATACTTTTACTTTTAGCAAAGGAAAAGGCAATCAGTGGCACACAAATTAAGGCTTCCACTATAAGGGGTGATAGTGTCATAGTCCGAAAAACACACTATTACCTTTATATGCCTGTAGGTGTTGAGTGCTTGGTCTAAAACCTATGAGCGACACTCTGAAATTGGCGTCCAAACAAGAGCTTGCATACTTATCTTTCACAGTAGACCGTATACGACTTACTTGTATGCGTGACCAGCTCCACAGCAGAAGATAACATCTGGATGGCCCGTCTTCTTACAGGTGTCGATCACGAAGTTTCTGTCAGGAGTCATTGTATACAGACATGTCTTGGTGTACAAGATCGGTCCAACAGCCTAAAAATATAAATGTTTTGGTATCACATGGGAAGTCTAGAAGAACATAAACTCCTGGGCAATTAAACGGTCATAGCTATCACACAAAAGTTACCAAGTTACCTCATAGTCATACCGGAAAATTACTTTTCTGATGACTATACCTGAAACAAACTAACACGACACGTAAACCATTCTTATTGTCATACCTATTAGGATTGTGGCCTTAAAACAGGGGATGTCGCCATCACGAAATGGCGAAACGGGTGAGCTGCTATTATATGCAGTATTTTTTCCGAGATGGGGTGTTCGTGGTATAGGGGTAGTCTCCCAAACAGGTAGTTACGAGCGGGTGTGTAGTTGATGTGATACGAAAAGAAAGGGTAAAAATCATAACCGGGGCAGACTCATCAGTGATATAGAGCAGTGGTCTCGTAATCGGGTGGTCCCGAGTTCCAAACCAAGTCGTTCCGCTTGTGCCCTTTTTTCAGGCATTAATCCTTATAACCAAGTCTCTCTGAGAGGATTTAAAGCCTTCGGCTCCCTGATTGCTTACATGCATACCCATGCTTTCTTGATAGTCATGTAAAAATAAACCTTCAATCATAGACTCTTACCCTAGGAACTAGTTCAGCAACATAGTTCCTCTCTATCTCTTGTCGTTTCTTATCAGGTACAAAGTTCCTGGTTTGGGCAGTGACTACTGGACCTCCCACATCTAGCCCGATCTTGAAGCCAGTGTTGCCATGCAGCGGAAGGAAGTAGGGCTCTGCTTTTTGGCCCGTATGTAGGATGAATGTTGGACACCTATATAACCGAAACAAGTCAGAATTAAGATCCTGAAATATTCTTTTTACTGTTTCAAATATACCAACCTCAATTTCAAATTACGATTATAGTCGAAAAGTATAGAGCGAATACTAACCAGATTATTCTTAGGACCAGTCTATTGGAAGTTGCAAAAAGAAAATTATACAACTCTTTTACTCTAGTAGGTGGTCTTATTTCGCATTTTCAGCCATCGAGTAAAACCGGTGCCTCCAGTCAAAGATTTAACATCATTCATTCATTCTTCTTCTGTCTACATTGTCCATCCATCCATCCATCTATCTTTCTATCTATACTAGTACCCATCCCTCGATTTATCCACCCTACTCTTACTAACCTATCTTTTGTGAACTCTTTCATGTGAGGAGTACCAAAGTAAGTGACCTGTTCCTGCGTGACAGTAAGGGGTATCTTAACTCCAACGGAAGAGAGAACATCATTCATCCATGCTCCGGCAGTCAGTATCACCTTCCTGCACAGGAAGTCACCTTGGCTTGTGCAAACCTGTCAAGAAGAAAAGATGAATACGTATGACGAATTCATCCACTTCAAATGAAATTTAAAAAAAAATAACCTCTCAGAAGACATTTTTCGGATATCTATTCATGATTATATTCGTAGGGATGTTAATATATGACATTGCTTCTAACCCAATTTTGTTCCATTACAATCCAAGTCTTGATCATTTTGTCAGTTAGAGCAAAGGGGCAGTTACACATCCCTCATAATTTCTAAATTAACGAAATTTAAAAAAATCCAATCGAGGATATTATTCCCAATAATGCCCCCCCCCCCCCCCCCGCTCCACCACCACAGTCTGAACATGAACCTACACGCCCTTCCTTAAAAGTATGTAAGGAGAAGAAAAATATTGTGAACATTTTCCCCAAAACATTGTGGGGATCAAATGAAAATACCTTCGTAAGATTGCCTTGCTTGACAATTTTTATGACAGCTGCATCATCAATGATAGTTGCCCCATTCTTGCGAGCGAGCTGGATGTGGACTGAGTTGCCCATAGCAGCATCTACGAGCCCCGCATCTTTCTGGTAGAGAGTGGTCCATTGAGGGGTGGCCGCGAACTGGGGGTACTTCTTCTTAATGCTCTCACCCTCATATCTCTCAAAGCTTTGATACAATAATGGAAACAAACGTAAATGGACAGAAATAGATTCAAAGTGACAAAATTAGATAAAGTAATGACAATATGAATGCGAGTGGGGTTTTAGCAGTACACCAGATTTTCTCTAATGCGGAACATAATTCTTCCTGGTGAAGAACACGGCAAGGGTAACATGACTGTATATTATAAGTAAATAAGTAAAGAGTATAATTTTCCAGTGCAGAGTCTTTTGAAAATGAAATATGATTAGAGTTTTGTAATTTATCTGACAGGGAATGCATAAAGATATGTAATTTAATTTGGGTTCATTTTACATTGGCTCTTCGTTCTACTATCGCACACCATGAAAAACAGGGTACAAATATACGTACAGACGTACACGAGCGTCTATCATGATGAGGGGGGGGGGGTGAGGGGCTTAAACATAGTATTATGCCCCAGTATGCCACGCAGATAAATCGAAAAACTAGTGATACATTAATCATTATGTGCGTCGAAAGCTTTTTCCGAGGGCACATGAAAGCAATGTTGAGCGCACTATTTCTGTATTTTTAAAAAATGGAGGGGGGGGGGGGGGAGTGGATAGAGGTAAATTTAATACACGCAAATTTGGCTTTTCAAGAATAAGAACGTGCCTCAAACCCCTCACCCCACCTGCATTTCGCCACAGTTTATGAACAATTATAGAAGCAAAGTGTTTATTAAGTAAAAAATGAGAACGATAAAAGGCGTAAAGTATATGGGGTGTAATGTGTGTAGATCATGAGAGTTCAGTTCATTAGGATCCGTATTAGACTATGAGATGATATTATCTGTGCCCTATAGCACGTTTATATTGCCCTTAGACATTGGTCTTAAACTTTTACCAGCCAATGCAACTTTTAGAGTCCCCGTGTCACAAAGTTTGAGTGCAATTTAGTGCGCGGTGTTCCCATTGCCCCACGCTTCTCTAGATCTCATCCCAGAAATCCCCTCCCGTCACATCGATTCCAATCTACCATACCAGGCGCGTAAGCAGGAGGGGGGAGTTTGGGGTTAACCCCCCCCCCCCCTTAATTGTTTTTACGTGTGTGTTTTGCATGAAACCCCCCCCCCCTTGTTATTATTATATAATTATATATTTTTTCTTTTTTTTAATTAGAAAAAAAAAAAACCAAAAATGCTCTTACCCCCCCCCCCCCCCCGCTTATTCAGCGGCTGGCTGAGGCGTTGCGAAATTTTCGGCCCGATTGGAAATTGTTAACCCCCCCCCCCCCCTCCCCTTGAAAAAATCCTGCGTACGCGCCTGTACGACACCTGTGGCCAATAACGTATTGTGCTTTTGGGGCATAGGGACTGGGGCACATCGTGTGATCCCAGTGGCGGATCCAGGAAGGCACAGAGGGCTCGTGTCCCCCCCCCCCCTCCCCGACCCCAAAAATATGTTAAAATCAGCCCTAAATTCGCCCAAAATGTACTGAAAAACAGGGACGTGCCCCCCTCCCCCGGCCAAAAAAAATTATAACATTTTTTATAAAAATAAAAAAAAATATGCCAATGGCTGACTTAAAAAGGTGATCTTACCCCCCCCCCCCCCCCCCCAACAGAGCAAAATGTCAAATTTAAAAATTCCGTGATACCCCCTTCCCCCCCCCCCCTCGCTTATTCAGCGGCTGGCTGAGTCGTTTTTTGGGGGGACTAACAAAAAAAATTCTCTTTCCCACCGTGTGCCCCCCCCCCCCCTCCGGTAAGAAATTCCTGGATCCGCCCCTGGATCCCATATTTAAACATCAATTAGCCCCTAGATCTTAAGATTAAAAAGAAATAAAATCATTTCATTTTTTTAGTTCATAGATAATCACTTCAAGCTCGATGTGATAGTGATATTATTGATATGTAAAATGTGGGGAGCCTAGATAAAAAGCATAGCTTGTTAAGCCTGTATCGCGATTATAATAGTTCTTTAACCAAAATAAACCCTCACATTTAATAAGTAAGGGGCACAGCCCCTTTTTAGGGCGTATCCAGAGATTGACAAACACAGACACGTAAAGGATCTCTTCCGGATCAGGGGTCGTGGCAAAATGTATAGGGTTGCCACTCATGCATAAATTTCTTTCTTATTTTTGAGGCCTCAAAACAGGGGGTGTCGCCGTGTCGAAATGTTGGGTGAGCTACTTTAAAAAAAAAATATATCTATATAATTTGAAATTATTTACTCACTCAACATTTTGTTCTGTCATGGCTCTAGCAAATATCTCTACGACGGCGTGTCCTGGGGTGCCCTTTTTGGCGATGTCTAGTCCACCTGTCTTGTAGACGAGTTGGACACCAGACTCTCTCTCTGCTTCTCCCCATGCCTCATAAGTGCCTCTTGCTAGAGGGATGTACTCACATGCATTGTAAGCCAGGCGACTGTTGAAAGAAACATGATAAAAACAGATTGAAGTTCAAAAAAGATGATGGTTTTAATAATACATTTTTTAATAACCATTTAAAATTATTTATTTTCATCCTTCTTTTTCTTGTCCCTCTATAAGTCTCAATACCCAATATTTCTATCTCCCTTTCCTCTTGTTTCCCCATTTCCTTCTCCCTCTCACTCACTCTGCTTCTTGTTAATTTGAAACCAGATCATGAAATAGTCATATCAATCTTAGTGGAATACGAAACCTCTCCGAAATGTTCTTTCTGAACATCAAAGATGTATTATTTTAATACGTGACTGTTGAAAATTGGATAGTTCATTTTCTATAATTTTAATTCAATTCTCACAAAAATCAAGATAACCATTAGCACTGTAAAAACAAAAGGATTTAGTTTGAAAGACATAATATTATTAATTAGTAAAAAGGGTATAACTGAAACAACGTTTTCCGCGTTCCTTGATAATGCAAGTATTATAATGTAAGTATAATGGTAGACATAATTTCATATTCATAAGGTTGTACATTTTTAGGTCAACATCTATTTAAACAGAAAAGGCAAATGTTATTGTATTTTTTAACGGAAATTTCTTTGACAAAGAGAGAGTACCATTCAGAGCACAAAATCATGTTTAGTTTAAACGAAAGAAAGTAAGGGAAAGTATTGAAAGAGTAACTTACATAATTCTTGAATGATCTTGCGAGCCTCCATTGTCATGACCCAATTTGAATTGCTCAAGACCAAGTACTCCTAATCAAAGAAATGAAGAAAACAATAGAAAATATGTTCACTTTGAAATTTGTTATTTCCCCCCCCCCCCTCAACAAGAAAATGAATCCCTGCCATAATGAGTCTACGAAATATATAGGCCCTATAGTAAGATCAGTGCTCAATTCAACCAAGGGAGGCGATTTGTCAAAAAATATCAACGATTTGGTTTTACTTGTAATGCGGTGCCTTATTCTGCTTTTCAATGTTTAGCTATACCCTTTGAGTGTCAGGTAAGTGGATTAGAGCTGTTGGTTATTTTTACTTGTAATATATATTGTTATATTAGTATATATTGATTTATTTATCTAAATAGGTTTCATATCTATTGAATTTGGCGATCATGCCATTAATCAACTTTCTGTTTCTAGCCTTTGCCAGGAGCTCCACCACCCGGTATTTCACTCCTCTCTTCTCAAGCCATATTTGCAGTACTTTTCTTGTTGTAACATGATACTTCGTTGTAATATATATCTTCTTTTACCGTGATTTACCTCAAGCCAAAGATTGATTTCAATATAGTGAGGTGGAGATTTATATAATCAAATTGATGTATATGCGACTTCCGTATCCGATTTCGGTGATGGTTCCAGATTTTGTCTGGCACCGTATTCATTGAACTTTAGACAGTGGCGTACAGGGGCGCTGGAAGTGGGGGGAGGGGCGGTCGCCCCTAAGCAAAAAAGGGAAGGGGCAAAACGCATTTTCGCCCCCCACCCCCGAATAAAAAAATAAACAGTAAAGGAGTAAAAATGGTTCACGTTTCAGAAAGAAAATAAAAAATAATAAAATCTGAATTGTATCAAATAAACAATGATATTCCATTCAAAGAAAAGGAGAGTTAACAAGAATTAAATTTCCTTAACATTCCGCATGTCCCTATATTTGGAAGATTTTATAATAGCGATACGCGCATAATTATAATGAAATATTGTGAGAGGTTGGGACAGCGTGTGTTTTTGTTTTAATTATAGGGGTGAAAAGACGTGAGCCCCTAAACCCTGGCATACTGATGGGGTGGCAGTTGCCCCCAAATAAAATTCGAACGTTATTTCTAAATCTATACCAGTGATTTACAAATGTTGCTGAGATGAAATGATTTTCTGAGATTTTGTCTCATTTCTTTTTCGTAAATTATACTTTTTTATGCGTTTGTTGGAAAATTACAAATTCCCAAAATGTCAGAAAGAAAGAATGAGTCAGTCCTGGAATGACTGACCTGCCAGTGTCACAAGTGAGGTATCAAAATATGCTCGTCTGACCGTAATTAAATGCCTGAAACCCCTGAGCTTACGGGAGATCTGTCCCCTGGACCCCATCAAGGGCCCTAAAAGGGGCCTCTGGATATTCATCTGACCATTATAAAATGCCAAAACCCTTGAGCTTCCGGGGGCTTCGCCCCTTGACCGCCGCCGCCTCGCTCGTTACGATCTACCTGATCGTTAATACTCCACTTTAAAAAACGTTCCACGGGGCCTGCATGTAACATGTAAGAGTGTTGGTGACAGTGGCGGATCCAGGGGTGGGGACCGGGGGCCCGGGCACCCACCCCTGGCACAAAAAAAATTAATTAAAAAAAATGGTAACCACAATTGTCCTTATTTTGTGTGTGGCAAGGGGGGAGGTGGTGTTAGTAAAAAAACATAACAAGTGGGCCCCCTCCCTCGCGGCTGGCTGGATCCGCCTCTGGGTGGTGATGCAGATTCTTCTTCTACCCTCCCCCCCCCCCCCCCCCCACAATCGTTTTGTTCATTACGCCACTGCCCCTAAAAGATGAGCCCCTGGATTGTTTGTCCCCCACCAATCCAAAACTGCTTCCGACGTGCCTAGTGGCGCAATATGGGGGAAAGCAAGATCAAAATTCATAATAAAATGTGACAGAGAGTGTGGGAGTGGGGTTGCAGAGTCTTTTCTTATGTTTCCTTCCCTCTTGAAGTTCTTTCCTATGCTCTAGCTGATTCCTTATTTCGTTTGTTTTTTTACACAATTTTTGTCTTCTTTAAAAAAAATTTAAAAATTCAACAATTCTATGGGGGCACCTATACCCCATCATTATCTCTGTAGCTACACCACTGAGTTCACTTTTTTAGATATCGACCAATCTCTGGTCGAAGCTTACGCATACGTCCAAAATAAAAGTTGTTTGACGACACTTGCAACAAGAATGTATGCAAACTTCATTTCCTCTCTTGATGTAAGCAAATGGAAATCTGTATTTCTTTTCTTTTTTTCATTTGATTTCCTCTTCAATTGTTGAATTGAGCATAATTATTATTATGTTCTTCTTCTTATCGAGTCAATACACAAGTCCCGTTATGTGATATATCGATATCATGCAATGTTATTAATTTTTCCATCAAACAAATCAACTCCAAGTTACATGTAAAATGAAATCCCTCTGAATTAGTAGTTTAACAAAAAGGAAAACTTTGACTTCTTACTAATTTCCCGATTTTGGACAAAAGCTCAAATCCGGTGCTGGTTCAGAATTTAGAAGAATACTTGAAAAAGCTCTGTTGGGGCTTTAACACATGCAAAGAATTTGTATTCATCATTACTGTATTAAATGATATCTAGTAGATGACGATTTGACACAAACGTGTTTGTGAAAATGGAATGCTCGGTGTTATACACTGTGGAAATCCGGAGTGAATTTATTTAAACAAACAAAAGGATATTATACAAGATGACAAGTAGCGATTTTGTTTGAGCCATACTGCCATACCGACTGCATACCAATTCTATTCTGACTGACTTTGGCCATTCCAGGTAATAATGTACAGTTTGGTTCGGTCTTTCGTTGGTCTGTGTCGATCTAGTTGGTGTGACGGGGGCATGATTATTAGGACTTTGGAACGGTTACAAAGGGAGAAGATATTTGTTGATCTATCTTGGCAATCATGGTCCATAGACTACATGTAGGCCCGTCTATATCATTCTGCAGTCAATCATTTCAATCGAAATGTAATTCTCACTCGTTATTTATGTCAAGATTATACTCACGTTTTCCCGCTCTCTTTGATAACCAGTACACAGTTGCACTCCCGATTCCTCCACAACCCACAACTATATAATCATACTGTTTAACACCTGACATGATGAAGGAAGGACTAGGTTAAGTCTGTAAAACTTCTCTTGTGCAGTTTTTGTTAAGTTGACTGGGAAAGGGAAAGACCTATTGGACTCAACTATTATTTACAAACATAAGTACGAATCGCTTGGGGAGTGTATATTGCTCTAGAGTCTAAGGTCATATTGAAAACGGACGACATGATAGTGATTGTTTATATCTGGTTTTGTATCCGTCATGTAGACGAACTATTGCTGGAGGAGACGCAAGGGAAGGGCCGGGGCATTGGGGCATTCGTGCCCCTCCTCCCGTCAGCTCCAGCCTGTGCAAATTGCAATAAAGCCATTAGGCCTACTGTTTCAAGTAAATTTAGTATTTCAAATCATTCCTCCACATATTCATGTTTGCATGTGTGTGTGTGTGCGTGTGTGTGTGTTTTCTTTAATATAGCAAAAAAAATAAGAGTAGCTCGATTTTTCCCTTTGAAATTAGTACGCCGATATAGGTTCTATTTTGGCACTTAATTTCCAAGTAGTAGTTAGTGAGTTAATTTTCACGAAATGTGAGCAAGTTCACTAGGCTATCATTATGGAAGGCCCTTAAGTCTAGAGCACCGGGGCTGTTTCTGGAGGGGAAAAAAATCGAAGTCCAGGGAGTGCACATCTGGGCACCTCTAGTGTTAGGGTCGGTTTTGTCCACCAAGGCGATTTGCATCTTACCCCCCCCCCCCCCGAACCTTTAAACGTTCGGACATTTTGTTTTCTCTCTCTCTCTCTCTCTTTTTCCTGACGCATTTACAATCCAGGTACCGCCGCCAGAACAATGATTATTCTCTCACAAAGGAAATTCTTAGGTATGGAGATCTCATTTGTGGACATTCAGTTCAGTTCAGTTCAGTTTATCAAAAAACACCTGATATAGCAATCATGACGAACAAACATGATCCGAATTGGAACCCCAAAAGCTATGCTCGTGAGTGGGGCCCCTGGGAAGGATGGACCTCTCAATCCCGGCGGATAGGGATATTTTACATAATTATCATCCTCTTTATCTCTTAAACATTAATTTTTTATAGGCCTAGTCCTATCTATTGTTTCTTTTTTTTTAGATGCTCTTAGTTTAATGCTTTAGGTTCAATATATCAATCTTTTATAGATATATTGTACCTTCTTTTGTATTTGCATTTGCCTGTATAGCACCATGAGGTTATGCATGACGGACCTGATGCGCTTTATAAGAAGCCATCTTATTACTTTGTAATATTATTATTATCATGATTTGTTGTTTATTCGTTTTTATATAGAGTAGTATAATAAAGCATGCAAATAATGTGTTTGTGTAAGCTTCTGTCCAGGGGCGGATCCAGCCGGCGGCAGGGGAGGGGCCCAATTCGTGAGAAAATATTTAGCGGCGAAACAGCCGGCCGATAATTCGCTCAGTGGGGGGGGGGGGGGGGGGGGGGGGGGGTATAGGAGCACAATTTTTTTTTTTCTTTGCTCCCGAAAATTTGAAAATCGCGCCGGCCAATAATTAGCTCAGTGGGGGGGGGGGGGGGAGGTAGTGAGCACAAATTATTATTTTTGGGGCCCTCGACTGAATTTGACAAATCGCACCCCCCCCCCCCCCCCCCCCCCCCCGGATCCGCCACTGACTCTGTAATTCAAACATTGCCACGCACATCTCCGAGGGTTGCGAAAGAGTAACAGAGTAAAGTCATGAAATGGAAATAGTTCGTACATTGGATATTCGAGATCTGCATTTTTCATGAACTACCATTCAGCCTTCAGAAGATGATCATCACGTTGTTCCACATGAAACAGAAGAGCGAATTCAACGAAACAATTAAAGCAAATGAACTTATATTTTTATGAAAAGTGAGTACCTACAAAAACTTTGTGCAAAAGATTTATATATGATATGGCATCACAAATTAATAACTTTATAACTCCCCTTTTTTTTTAAATTAATGCATGATGTCCTGACTTTTGAAACATACCCAGGCGCGTACACAGGGGGGGGGGTGTTTGGGGGGTTTAAACCCCCCCCCCTTTGATAATTTTGTGTGTGTAAACCCCCCCCCCCTAAATTTCTCTAAACCCCCCCCCCCTTTTGGATTTTTTATTTTATTTTTTTTAATTTTTTTTTTAAAAAAAAAAAAAAAAAAAAAAAAATTCCCATGGTTGAAAAAATGTGTCCTCTTACCCCCCCCCCCCGCTTATTCAGCGGCTGGCTGAGTCGTTGCGAAATTTTCGGCCCGATTTATAAATGTTAAAACCCCCCCCCCCCCCCCCCCCCCCCCCCCTTGAAAAAATCCTGCGTACGCGCCTGAACATACCTAAGATGTTTTCAATCCATATCTCTATAATTGATTAAACTTTGTGTTACTTGTAACAATGTTACTCATTTCAATCTAATTTATCTGGGTTTTTTCTTTTGCTTTGAATGTATCACATATCATTTCTTTGTCTTTCGTTTCATTTAAATTAGTTAAATATTGTTACGATCATCATTTTGTTACTGCGGCGTTCTCTATAGCAGGGCTTGATCCGTAAATCAGACCCAGAGTGGCTGTGAATGGATTTATTATCTTGATATTTCATATTTCAAATATAAAATATCTGCCTAGACCTGTAAATAATAGGTCATTCAGATTTCAGAACCTTTTAAAAAAATCAATTAATTCTGGATGTCAATGCATGGCAATTGGATTCTTTTCTTTGACCTTGTTTACATGTTTTTCATTGCAGGTCAATTATATTCAAGGCCCAAATTCAAGGCCAAATAAGTCTTGAATGGAGTGCAATCAAATCACATTTAATTCAATGAAATCCAATCAAATGTGAGTTTCTGGAGGAAAGGTAGTAGCATTTTGGTCTCTGGTGTGAACGCGGGGCATCCAAGGTGCATCCATCTATAATCCTGAGCTGAGCTAGCTGCTCTGAATCCACACAACACACTAGCGGTGCAGCCTTGGTCAATGCACTGAATTGTATTGTAACCACGTGTATAGCGCATCGTATATTCCGAATTTATTTACGTGCTACCTACGTGTACCGACACATGCACAATATAGACGAATAATGGAGTTGCCATTTGGTGTAATTGGTACGATTGGAGAAGATGACAATATTTCTATTGACTCTGAAGAAAGCAGCAGTGATGAAGAGGTATAATGACATTATTTCCTTTATTTTTCTCGATGTGATTAGACTTGCAATGTTGTAAATCATTCACTGTTGTCCCATGTACCAGTATTCATGTTAATTGACTTCTGACTGTAAGCTCGTGAACGAAACTACGCAGTTTCCAATTTCATGTTCCTGGTGATGTAAATTGTAACTTAGATCTTCTCACATTACTTAATTCAGTGTATTCGGACCAAGTAGGTTTGATGGCGCAAGAAAATGCTCAGAATGAGCTCTTTATCTAACGATAACTAGACTATTTCATAGTAAACAGGTAAAATATCTCGAAGACGAAGTCAAAACACACAAAATTCTTGCTAGGTTGCCAAGTTGCCATGCAATTTTTCTACCTTGCATATATATCACTGATTTTCACATGATTGAACAAAAATTGTAACATAGATTCATATTTCAAAATTAACTTCAAAATATTTTCTACTTCAAGGCTGCCCAACCCAAGAAGGTAACTGATAAAAAGAAGAAGGAAGGGAAAGACTTTTCTCAGGATTTTGAGTTCACCAATTCTCTCTCAGACGACGATGGTCCCTGGTCGGCAGGCCTCGCCTCTCAAGCTTCTTCACAGAGGGTGACCACATCTTTAGAATACAAGATAGCAAGGATTAGAAAAGAGAGGAAAAAGGTAATCTCATTCTCTCTGCTTAAAGATACAGTTTAAAATGTTTAATCTGAGATGCATGGCACTACGTGTTATCTGTGTCTGTGATATGGTGTAATATTGAAGCCCTAAAAAAATTACGCTTCAAAATTATCATGGGAGTGAAAGGTTTTTACCATACTCATTTTTCCCATTAGACTGTAGTGTGATCAAAACCGTTGGGGAAAACAAATTTTTAAATTTCGATTTCCAATCATAAATATCTTGATAATCAGACAGGCGTTCGGCTTGTAAAAGTCATGGGGTTCCTGACAGACCTAAAGGTTTATAATTATCATTGCAGCATGAGCTAAATCCAGGATTTTGTTTCAGAATCTGAGACAAGGTTACCCAATCATGATGGAAAAATGTTTTAAAAAGCATAATGTAGAATTTCCCTTAAAGATTTTGTTTGTGTGTGAGAAAAAATATTTTTAGAATGACCAGTCTGTATAGCCATGATTACCGCTAGTCATCAAAGAAATGGGCACAGTATTCTACTGGCTTAAAAATAATAGTAACAAAGTTAAATTTGACTATACATGTATGTGAGTAAAGGCTAATGGACAAAGCATGTTCTTTTTAAGGTCCAAGCTCTTTCCAAAATAGATAAGAATGCAAAATGTTAGAAATGATATGGTGTTGCTAGTCTGTCATTAACAGTCTTTGATTGTGGTATGTACCTGTATTTCATCTTTAGAAATGATGGTAATGTGGATTATTCTTGGTTTTAAGAGGAGATAGAGGGGTTAGTAGTCTACTTATCTTTTCATTTCATGCATGGGTTATATTCACACAGTACATGATTCATAGCAGTGTTGTTGAATTGTACATGATAATATTGAAAAGATGCTGCATAAAAACATCAAAGTTGAATTCAAACATTAACATGTATCACAAGATATTATTTACTTATATCAATCCGAAAATTTGGTACTTTGGGTTAAAACAAACAATCAAAAAAGAAAAAAAATCTTTAATCTTTCCAATTGTTTGTAGCTTAGGATACACATGAATGACAAATCCCATTCCAGGTAAGTTAAAGCTTTGACAATGTTATTTTCATTTTCTTTGCACGGAATAGAAGGAAGCTGAAGAAAAAGACAAAAACAAAGAGAACCAGGTGGATGAGAAACTGGATGATGGAGATGAAAATGAAGGGGATGATGAAGAGGAGGATGATGAAGATGAGGAGGAGGAGGAGGAGGATGATGATGTCCAAGGCTTTGATGACTTTGCCAAATGGGACAAGGTAAAGTTCAAGCCAAACAGTGAAAAGAGACTGAAGAGGAAGAAAGGTGAGGATACACAGCTGTATTATTTATTTTTCTTTCTCATTTTTTTTTCTATTACAGTCAAACCTGTCTACAGCAACCGCCCAAGGGAAACACAAAAAGTGGCCTTTGTAGACAGGTTCCTTTAGTACATGATTCAATGAGAAACCATTTTCAAGGGAAACAACAAATGTGGCATTTGTAGACAGGTGGTCACTAAAGCAGGTTTGACTGTTATTTCTGGCTGCTCTCATTCATCATTCATAGAACATCAAAGAACTGAGGCGGTGAATTGAATATTGTGCTGAAGTCGGATTGTAGTGATATTCTAGGGGGAGGTGCGATTTTTAACCATATGCCTATATGCTCCCCCCCCCCTCCCTCTCATCTGGAGGTTTGCAATGTTGTACTCCTATATCCCTCCCTCCCCACCCCCTGTGCTCCCTGTTGTAGTTCGGATTAAGAATCTTTACTGTACAGTTTAATGAGATGCAAGCAGACCAAAATTATTAAGGGTCAAACTATTTTGTAACTTTTTTCTTCCACAAAATATGAAGAAGCAAGATAGCACATAGTCACATGCATCTAGCAATCATATGACGGATTACTTGATATTTGTACCTCAAGAATGTAGAAATCTCATGGAAACTTTTCTTTTTCTAGGAGAGGAGGAAAAGCCGTTCTTCGAGGAGCTGAGGGATGACAGCAAGGCTATGGCTTTCACTGAAATGAACCTTTCAAGACCTATCCTTAGAGTAAGTTGAACTTGATAAAATGTAACTTCTTTAACCTTGTCATCTCTTGGAAGCCATGAAGGGCATTAACTAAGATTAGCTAATCCCTTGTAGCTTTCAATCAGATGTTTTGTACCTTTAATCCATAGCGTGTTAGTTCATAATCTAATCATTGATTTTGTCATGATTGGTAAAAAAGGTAGGAGTAGAGATTCGCTTCTATTCTTACCATTGGTTTAGCATAGGTTGTCATAATTGTTTGTCCATTGATGCAAATTAAAAATTCTACCCTAACTCGAATAAGTGTTGACCAAGATGTACCTAGAGAAAATTGATTATGAATATACCCAAAGATTTCAAGCTGACAGCTTATCTGACGCCAGTCACTCATATTATAATTTAAATATTTTTAAATGAATGTTTTATTTGAAATAAATGAATACTTAAGCCAAATAAATAAAAAAATTAAAGAGTTTATCGTCCCCACCCGCCTCTTGTTTTGGCCCTGCCCCTTTTACTTAACTATTTACCACTCAGAAAAAAAGGCCTGTGATGTACATTTCGTTTAAATCTTGGAAAAAAATAGAACAAAATTGAAAAATAGTAAATAGTAATGCATTGCCTTCCTTTTTTGCAAAAGTCTGGATGAGAAACTTGTTATTTTTGTTTATTTGGCCTTATATGACTTCATTTAATTTTCGAATGTTTCATGTGAGTTAAGTTTTCCCATTCATTTTTGTAATGTTTTTTAAATATTCCATATTTCATAAGTTATTGTATCTGTGTATCTTTGTGAGTTCATGTCGATATATATCTGGACAAAAATTCCTTCATATTTTGTTTCTCCATTGTGTAGGCTATCAGTGGTCTCAATTTCACCGAACCAACTCCCATTCAGTCAGCCACCATACCTGTAGCCCTTCTTGGTAAAGATATATGTGCGTGTGCAGCCACTGGAACAGGTAGGTACAGGTCGAGGGGTCAGTGACGCAACTCTATTTTGGCCATGTTTAGAAAAAGTGGTTTATGTGTCACTGAGCACTTGGGCCTTAAGGAGTTAAGTCTATGTTTCACTAGCCATTGACTTCAATGGGGTGGAGTTAAGTCTTTGTGTTTCCTGGAAAGCCCACATTTTCCTGAGCATTTTTATGTCAAATACTCATTTTGGCAAAATATGGAGTTACGTCTTTGTGTCACTTAACCCTCGAGGTGATACCAGGGACAACGTTCAGTTTAGTATGTAACCCTGTCTTGGGACTTCTTGATTCTGATGTATGTTACTTGCTCCAAATCCAGAATTAAATCCTGAATTTAATGATAAAGTAGAAATATTCTCCTTTTTAGGACTACACACCCCCAAGAAAGATTACAGAGAGCCCTTTTTAGGACTCCTCAATCCTCCCTCTCTCTCACATGGTGCATCCGCAAGCCTACTCTATAGAAATATTCTTGTTGTAGTACCAATTTGTTATGTGGAAACTCAATTAATTACACGGTTTAGAAATATGTTACCTTTGTCCCAGAGCAGTTTATGTCACTTTTATGAAGTCCCAGACCAGATCAAAGATTAACTGGAAATACACTACAAATGGCAGTAAAATTATATATCTAAAAAATCTGCACTAACTTTATATACTAATAATAATAACAGTATTAATGTTGGGTTCTTCTGTGGCCCTCATGTCTGTCAAAATTGGCGCTCCTAGTATTACACAATTACTACCTGGCCTTTGTATGCAATATATGCAAAAACAAAATTGCAATTTTAGATAGACAACAATTTCAAAGAGTATTGTACTTTTAGACATGTGCTAAATTCAAGTCCTGTTATTAATTGCCTTGGAAGGTTGAGAAAAAAATAGGTTCAGAAGAACAAAAGGTAATGACGCAAACACCAAACCAAAAATGACCTGGGAGTACTTTTTTCTTCTTGTAATTATGATATATTACCAGTTTTATTCCCAATTTCAAAGCTGTATTTTTTCCTCTCTGTCTCTGTAGGTAAAACTGCTGCCTTCATGCTTCCAGTGGTTGAGCGTTTGTTGTACAAGCCCAAGCAAGCCCCAGTCACTAGGGTTCTGGTGGTGACCCCGACCAGAGAACTTGGTGTTCAGATATTCAACGTCTCCAGGCAGCTGTGTGAATTCACAAACATTGAGTGCTGTCTTGCTGTTGGTACGTTTAACTTAATAAGTTCTTCAAAGCCCCACTGCACTACTTATAGCTACTTGCGCCCTCTATACAACAAACAATGCCTAAGCGGTACCTGTCGATCCCCCATGATGCCCTTTTTCTTATGTTAATTAAGAGCTGATTTGATGAGATAACCACCTGCCAGTGACTTTGCAGGGGATCTAATCCCTCCATGCCGAACTAGTGCAGAGAGGCTTTAATATTTGATTTTAGAGGTTCTGTTTGACATTTCCAATAACCCGTTGCAAATTAGTCCATCGTCTTTAATTTTTTGCTGAGTGAGACAATAAGGCGTGATTGTTCAGTAGTAGAGCGGTGATCTCGTTACTGGGGAGTTCCAGGATTCAGTTGGTGCGATGGTGCCCTTCGGTAAGGCATTAAAGACCGTCACCACTATTGGGCCAGAAGGGATTAGACCACACAGAGAGCCATCAAGGTCACTGTGACAGGTGGCTATCTCATTAACTCAGCTCTCATTTAACATAAGAAAAAGAGGATCATGGGGGACCAACAGGCACCGATTCGGGAAGTTTTCTATATAGAGGGAGCAAGTAGCTACAAGTATGGCAGTGTGCCTTTAAGCCTTATGAATAAGCCCCTTGGATAAGATGTAAGGCCGTTGGTGCCCTTGGTTGCTTACCTACAAGCATAAACTTGCTTTCTTAGCTGTCAGATGTAATAAATCTTCATCATCATTGAAACCAGACTTTGGTTTGATGTTGGGTTATACATTTCTACTCATATTTAAATTATAAGAGTACTTTAAGAAACAATTTTGTATGAAACATTGCTACAGCAACTGTCTTCCACATTGGAAAAACATAATCAGAAAGGTCACAATTTATTTTTTTAACCTTTACTGAAATTCAACCGTCTGCTTAAACGGCATGGTAGAATAGCAGAAAATAGATGGATGAAGAATATGGCAGCCACAGGCAAAACAAAAAGAAAACATAATTGTCTATCCATCTGCACCTGCTCAAATATTATCCTCCTCAGCTGTTAGCTGATCAGATATTTCTTTCTTTCATTTGGTTGCTCTTGCTAGTTGGGAGTAGATGGAAGATACCCGTAATCCCATGTGATTGTTATGAATTCATAGTTATTTCAATCATTGCAAATTGATGCAAGGTTGCACCTGCACTCCCTTGATTGCATGCCTGGGAGGGCTAATCCATACGTACATGATTATATCTCTTCTTCTCTCTGGCATGTGTGTCTTATGTGTGTGGGACTAGAATAACATGTAGAGTGCAGATTGAGAGGTTCATCTGATTATGAACTGCCGGCAGACCATTTTTTTAAAGGGGAAGTCCACCCTGATATTTGGTTAGTTTTAATAAAAGCAGAAAAATGAGAGAAACAGTTTAGTGAAAGCTTGAACAAAATCTGATTAAAGATAAAAAGGGTTTGAAATTTTGAAGTTGTAATCAATGAAGCATAAATTGAATATATTTGCAATAATTATGTTTAGGTTTCATGAATGATTGAACATTTTCTTTAGGGAAAAATAGGCATTTCTGATTTTGTTTTTGTTTTTTGTTTTGTTAAAGTACAGAGCAAATGGGAGGGAAACTGGCAAGATACGTCACAGAGTTACCAATTTGTGTTTGATTGTTCACACCTTCAAAAATTCATAACTTTCTTAATTATAATCATATTTTGCTCTAAATTACACTGACCTGTTCCTCCGTTTTCTGATTTTATTAAAAACAACTAAATATTGGGATGAACCTCCTCTTCAATCAAGCATTCATGTAAATAAAATCATGTATAGTCCTCTTTCTGGATTTGCGGAGATACATTTGAGAAGCCAAATGAAATTACAGAACAAAATAAAAATAAAACATTATTACTTAAAAAATCATCTTATTTTTGTGTTGCCCAAAAGAATTGCATATCCTAACACTCAAAAGAAGAAAAACAAAATTCTTTTCAGTAAACTCAAATGTTATGTTAATGGCAGTAAGTCCCTTTTGCAGACTTGTGCAAACTTCATGAAACTTAGGAAGTCTTTAAAGGTAAAGACCAGTATTGGAAACGCCCCAATTTCAAAAAATGAAATGGAAACTCTCATTACCAATCATGTGAAAGAATATGTTTTGACTAATACATGATGATAAAAAATTTGCCGGGAAACCGCCTACTAATTCATATATTTGGTAAATTTGTTTCTCTCATGGTCTGTGAGAGATATATGGTAGTCCCATGTACATCTTTCTGTGTATAGTGCTTGTAACTTTACAAAGAATGGGCCAAATTTCTTATCCTTTTGATGATTCCAGAACCTTGCAGATGCTAGATGCTAGATGATCAACCTTTTCTGATCGATTCCACAACGTTTCTTTCACAATGCAATCGCATGACCATAACTGGTCTTTACCTTTAAAACATATCCTTCAGATATCGTGTGTGAAATTTTAGTGTGACAGGTTCTGAAACTTCTTTGTAAGAAATGAATATCTAACACTGTTTTCATATTGCCACAGAGGGAGCTATTCTGAAATCAACTGATTTAACCTTCAAATTAAGTTTAGAAATTACCTACAAATATTTGCTTGAGTCTAGAAAATAAATATCTGGAATTAAACATCCATAATTTATTCCTTGTAAGCCAGTTTTCATTTTCTTTTTTCATTTGGTGGGAGGTCCCTAATAATGGGCCTCTTCAATGCACCAATGGATTCATGGAACTTCAGGCTTTTAAGTCTGCGAAAGGGACAAACCATTTTTTAAATAGTCTCTTCTCTTTATCATTTTGCACAATTCACAGATAATAAGTTTCAAAATGATACAGAATATCTTACATATACCGGTATGGCAGCGACATAAAATTTAAAGCTTGAATTTCAATCTAGATGGAGTTGTACAAGTGATTAACGCCCACAATAGCAGGGGACTCTTCTGGAGCCATTGCACTGGTTTTCTTAAATCTCCTTATATTTGTTTTCACTCTGATAGGCGGTCTGGATATCAAACTTCAGGAGGCTGCCCTGCGGAAGGGTCCAGACATCGTCATAGCAACCCCTGGTCGTCTGATCGATCATCTGCACAACGCTCCAACGTTCAGTCTGAGCAGTGTGGAGGTTCTCATCCTAGATGAAGCAGACAGGTACAAGATGTGTTCTTTTTCTTTTTTCTTTAAAGGCCCACTGTACTACTTGTAGTTTCTTGCTCCCTCTATAAAGAAAACAATGCCTAATCGGTGACCATTTGTCCCCCATGATCCTCTTTTTCTTATGTTAATTGAGAGCTGAGTTGATGAGATAGCCACCTGTCAGTGACCTCCCTGGGTGGTCTAATCCCTCCTTGCCAAACTAGTACAGATGGGCTTTAATCAAAAGAGAAGGTGAAAATCATAACTTGTTTTATGATCTCATTTTAAAATGTGTTAGAACAAGTGTTCAAGTGTTTCTTTTGTATTTTCTCTTTTATTTAATCGAAAGAGAAGGTGAAATCATGAATTTTCACTCGTTTTATGATTTCAGTTTGCAAGGTGTTACAAGTGTTTAAGTGTTTCATTTGTGTTTTTCCTTTTATTTACCCAAAAGAGAAGGTGAAACTCATGACTTTTCACTTGTTTTATGATCTCATTTTGCAATGTGTTTGAGCAAGTGTTCATACACAAATTTGAGCCATTGCTTTCATCAATCCAATTGAGAAGAAAAGAACATTTAATAGGTAGACCATATTGAAGTATGCCTATTGAAACTTACTATAATTTGTGTTTTTGTGAAGTGGAATAAAGTGAACTGAACTGTCATGAAAGATGATTGTGATGAAGGTTCTCTCTGGGTATGGTATAACAGGGTGTTGTATAAGTTGGTTGAGAAAAAAAATTACAATCAGCCTTTTTTTGGTTTATCCTCTAGAAAACTATCTTGAAGTAGAATTCATTTTGCTTGTAAATATATATCTTATCAATTTTATGACAATTATACTGTAACAGATTTTTACGTTAGCTGAAAGTTGAAGAAAAAAGAGAGATTAGAAGTGACATATATTAGATGCATTGATTGAAATTGTCTCTGTTTTATAACTAGGATGTTGGATGAGTTCTTTGAGGAGCAGATGAAAGAGATTATTAAGATGTGCTCAGTAGCCAGACAGACTATGCTCTTCTCGGCTACCATGACGGACCAGGTAAATGCATATCAAACGTTTGTTCTCTTCTTGTAAAAGATACCGTTTGTCATTTGTAGTAGATTGAGTAAAATTGGCCTAAAATGTTTGTTCTTTTTTTAAAGTTACCATTTTTCATCTACAGAAGATTTTTGTATTGCCTTTAAGAACTTTTAACCACATTGCGTTCAGGAACCAGATGCTCTCTTGTATTGTAAAGCATATACTGTAGGAAGTAGCAAAATTGAGTAGTCAACACATTTATTATTTCGAACAGGAGAAAATATCTGGTGAAGTAAGTACATGTACTAGGGGTGTTGTGCAGAGTCTGCCCAAAACTAGATCTAAAGAAAAGGATGTATTTACAAAGTGACATTCTATATCACAGCTAATATTTTCGCAACAGAATCATGAAATTATGTAGGCAGACATCATCCCAGCAAAATTTAACGTATTCTTCCTTAAAGTGAGAACTTTGCAGGGGACTATTGTGATATTACTTTCTTATTATTGCAAGGTTGAGAGTGATGATAAAAGATTTTTTTCATTTGTTCTCCATTCAGGTAAAAGATCTTGCGTTGGTGTCTTTGAAGAATCCTGTCAGAATATTTGTCAATGAGAACACAGATGTGGCGTACAACCTGCAGCAAGAATTCATCCGCATCAGAGACAACAGAGAGGGCGACAGAGAAGCAATAGTATCAGGTAAATGTGGTGTTTTTCTGCATTTGCAATGTTATGCCATGGATTTTATTTTCATTGAGTCATACGTTGTACTCGTCTTCAACAGCATCATCAAAAGAGTTAGTTTAGGATTTCATGTACAACCAGTCAGACTATTGTTTCTCCACTGCATTACCTGGAGGGTGTTTCACGAAGACTAAGATCAACTTTAAGTTGGACTTAACTATGGCAGGCCGTTCATGCCACTGTTTGCTCTCACCATTTACTGGCATTGGTCTCTCAAGGGACATACAAATCATGGTCACAAATCTACAGAATTTTCATTTATTTGACTTAAAGCTGATCTAAGTCTTTGTGAAACACCCCTGGTCCCTCTGATAGGATGTATAGACATAATTGCAACAACCATCTAGGTAAAAACATTCTTCAAAGTGATTACCTTGTACTGCAATTTTTATTTCATGTAGCGCTGTGTTGCCGAAACTTTCACGATCACTGTATGGTGTTTGTACAGACGAAGAAGCAGGCTCATAGGCTGCATGTCATCCTTGGTCTTCTGGGGATCAAGGTCGGTGAGCTTCATGGAGACTTGTCACAGACCAAGGTAAGATCAGTACTTGCTTTACAACCATCAAAATAGGTATAATGTCGTTCTATTTCGTGTTTTGTTATATTATTTATTCTATTCTATATTTACTTCCACTGTTTTGTTTTTAAAAGGGGGGGGGGGTTATCATGTCATAAGTCATTGATGATTTAAGCAGGGCTCCTCACATTTTTTTTAAAGGGGGCCAGAGTCTATATATATGAGCCCTATGAACGATTTTTAACATTTTGAGGGTCCAGACTTATATTGTTGGTGCCCATGCTCAAATCCTCACATTGAAATGGTTAACTTCTTCATTTGCAAATACAAATTTCTCATTGAATATGAGAGGCAAAAGGCAAAATTGTAAACTGGATTATTGCTTGGACTGGTATTATATTCAATCCCTGTCAGTAAGGCCTCCTGAAAATTAAAACATATATCCAGGTTCCATTTAGTGTTAAATAGTGTAAATGTTTTATTCCTTGTTATAACTCAGTATTTTTTATTTGTTTTTGTAGAGAATGGAGATGTTAAGGATGTTCAAGGAAGATCTGATAGATATCTTGGTGGCTACTGACCTGGCAGCTCGTGGTCTAGATATTGAAGGAGTAAAAACGGTAAGGGTTTTATCGCAACTTTTCTCAACCATGATACAAGTTCAAAAACAGAAAGGTGTTAAAAACATTTTAACTAATACTGAGTAACCATGTTAACAATTATTTGTCACAAATGTGAGTTTATGATACATTCTCTTTTTTTTTCTCTCATTAATTTGTTTCCTTAATTCATTGTTAATCTTGATTGAAACACTGTTTTATATCTTACTCCACAGTTGAAAATCCCTTTGGTTATTTTTATTATGCATTTCAATGAGAGACATTGGTAAAGGGAAAATGAAAAGAGTGATCTTTGTAGTCAGGTGGTCTTTCTATGCAGGTAGTCACTGAAGCAGATTTGACCGTGAAATGTATGTTCTGTGTCTGTTTTTATTTCTACAGGTCATTAATTTCACCATGCCCAATTCTGAGAAGCATTACGTGCACAGGGTAGGAAGGACAGCCAGGGCTGGTCGTAGTGGCAGGTAAGTTATTTGTGAGATCATTGACAAGTTTTAAGATACTTCTTCTAATGAGTTAGCATTAGCCACTATCCATCAGTCTCTTCTGAAACCTTTTTAAAGTAAGGTTATTTTGGGCGGCAGGGGTAACAGCTAGGGCTAGGAATAGTGGCAGGTAAGTTATTTGTGATATAATTAAAAAGTTTTTAAAAACTTCTAATGAATAAGCAGTGGCTGCTATCCATCAGCCTCTCCTGGAACCTTTGCAAATATAGGTCATATTGAGCCACCATTTCATTTTTTTTTTTTAATAATTCAAATCTCTTTTAAAGAAATTATTTTTTTGAATGTGTAACAATAAAAACATTCCCTTTCTGGATATCTTGATGGTTCATTCCTTTTTTTAAAGAAAACAAATTATTAATGAATGAAATTTGGTAGAAGTAAGAAATTGTGTTTTTAACGCGTAACAATCAAACCATTTTTTTTTTTAAACAAGATGTTTTTCTGTGGAATCTTATCAGCAATTCTAATGCTTCTACCATGTCATCTATAGCTCTTCAGATTCTCTTCAGACATTCATTTCTTTTCATGCATCCTGGAATGACAACCCTGTATTTTATCCCTTGTTGTTGTTGTATAATATCTGACTGATGTTCTATCCTTTGTTGCAGGTCAGTAAGTCTTGCCGGTGAGAAGGAGAGGAGGATGTTGAAGGAGCTTGTGAAGAGAGCGAAGAACCCTGTCAAGAGTAGGATAATACCCCAAGGTATGTTCATCAATTCTGTTTCAAAGACAAAAGTATCATTTTATTCTTATTTATTTATTTATTTATTTATTCATTTTTGCCTGGTTCATCGCATCACATGGTACGATCAACAATCATGAGATAAAACAAACAATAGAAGTGGACTTTAAAGAGGCAGTTACAATCATGAATATATATTCACAGTAATACTGCATGGAGAAACACCCAGAGGTTTGGCAGTATAGCCTAATGCGTGAAACTTTACCACACATCTACTGTTTAATTTAACATTTATTCGTCAAGTGATACAAAACAAACATATAAAAAATTCTATTTACGAAATATTAATACTGTACTAATGACAGTAGGTAAAATAAAGAATTCACTAGCTAAGCACAGTTATGTGTTCCAATCAACAGATATAAAACATTTTTTTAAAGGAGAATAAAAGAATAGTGAAAAATTGAATTTTGTTGTTATTTTCCAACAAATTGTCTTCTTTCATTTTCTATTAAGGCATGACCACCAATTACTGAGACAAGATCATATCTCTGGAGGACATTGACTTGTTGCCTTATTGGCGCCAATGTCAGACAATAGAATTGAATATTTCTCCATCCTTGTTTTATTCCGTCTTTTAGCGTCTGCTCATTACCATAAAAATATTTCATTTCTCGACTTGAAGAATAGAGAACAGAAGTTTGAATCATTTTTCACCATTATCATCTCTCCCTAGGCGTGGTGGCCAAATACCGGGACAAGATCGCATCCCTGGAAGAGGACATCGAGGAGGTGCTGAGGCTGGAGAGGGAGGAGAAGGAGATGAGGACCACCGAGCTTCAGCTCCAGAAGGCTACGATGATGCTCAACCACCATTCAGAGATCATGAGCAGACCCAAGAGATCATGGTTCCAGTCGCACAAAGAGAGGATGCAAGAGCAGGGTGAATAGGGATTTGAATTATGATATGATGACATACAACCAAATAGATGTGTTAACTAGTGTATTTTCTTGGGTTTATGTAGTGCCAATACATCAATGATGTCTCTAAGCGCTTTTCAGATGTATTATCAGGCAAGCCTCTGCAAAGTTTTTAGTATCCAAGAGGAACTCTACATGCGTAAAAAAAAAAGGAAAACAGGTCCATTAAATTCAATGTATGACTTTGAAAAGCGCAAAAAACTTGTTGCCTTTTTGAACGTGCTGTTTTGGCTGATAAACATTGTTTAGTGTAAAAGCAAGAACTTATAAATGTATGAAACTATTGTGAGTGGTCAAGATTTGCAAAACATTAATTAAATCTTGTTACTTCACAAAGTAGACTTTTGGTGAGATTCTGCTGAGAGCGAGAAGGGCATTTACTCTGTAGAAGTGTTAGAGTGGATCCTTTCTAGCTTTCAGTTAACAATAATAATAATAATATTGTGTTCTTGTTAGTGCTCATACCTGTTAGACTTGACATTCCTGTTAGACTTGACATTCCTGGTACTCCCAATTTCATATTAATTTTTTTTTCTCTCTCTTTCTTTCCCTCTCTTTCTTTCTTTCCCCCTAACTCCCCACTTCTCTCCTTCACACTTTCCATTCATTCTCCCCTGATTTTTCTTGTTCAGCATCCTTAAGACTTGATGCTGGTGCCAAGCCAGTCATGGATATGAAGAACAAGAAGAACAAGAAGAAAAAGGAGACAACAGTGAGTATAACATTGATCTTCCCACAATTTGATAATATGTTATTTGTGAGTACTACTCATAAGCCATCATATCGCATTCAACAACCCATTGACAAGTATTTATTTTTAAGTCAGCTCTATTTTAATCGATGGAGCTTTTTTTTTCAAAGTTTGGAGAGCATATCACTCCACTGAGCCGTCATGTCTCCTCATAAATGCTTCTCTTTCTCAATTTTTCTCTATTTAGGCTGAAGACCGAGTGGATTATGAGATGATGAAAGCCCAGCAGTTCGCCGCTCGGGTCGCTAAGAGATCCAGGAAACAGAAGAAGATTACTGCATTTGATAATGATGAACCACAACACAGGCCAGGTAAAATATATATAGTTAACAATTAAATTATTCACACCTCTTGTAAATTTGATACATTTTGGTATTTCGTAACTCAACAATGAAAGATGGACTGGTTGAATGGACCATTTCGTAGTTAGCACATGGGTCTAATTACCCCAAATATCCACAGATCTTTTACTCATGGAGAAGTCCCACTTTGTGTATTTTAGAATAATCCAGCATTCTGTAAGAGACTTTGGTTGCCACAAATGTTGCAGAGCTCACCAGCCCTTTTCTGTGCTATTATCTCTCTGATAGAATACTATTTTAAAGGTACTATGTCCCTTTTGCAGCCAACCTCAAATTCTGTAGAACTTTGCAGGAATTATGAATATGTCATGTATGTCCTATCTGTGAAATTTAAACGTTAGCAGTGTCCTCATATTCAAATTATGCAAGGAAACCCGTTTACTTGCTAGACTTCACTGTCAGACACTATTGAGTGACTGACTGGCTTTTTTTCTTCTTTGGTAATAACATACATGAAAAGAGTTGTAAAGGGTACATGAGCATTTGTCTACATCAATAACCCACTTCTTGTGATGGCCAAGATTAAACTGATTGAATCTTTGCGCAGCATAAAACGTATGACCATTCGGTACAATGGTCTGAAAATCAAGACTATTACTTTTGGGCTCTATAGCCCTAAAGTCGATTTGACAACTAATAGTCGTTATTTTCCCACTTTAAGACATTTTTGAGCCCCATCTTTTTTAGGGAAGTTCTATATTAGTATTATCTTTCAAATGCAGTTGGAATTTAACTTTTTCATTTTTTTGGCCTGCAAATGGGACATAGTACCTTTAAATCTTTAGAGTGACTCAGTAATATCGTTGAAGGTTGATGAAAAAACTGTGTAATTTGTGTATGAAATGTTACTTATTATATGCCTTCTACTGTACTTACCCTCTAGCAGGCACAAAATCCTGAGAAAATCCTCAAACCACAAAGATATTTATGGTTTTCTTTGAAGGCGTCACTGTGCAACACCCTCAAACAGTGATTGACAGTAAATTCTCCCGACCGTTTTTGAATTTTCCCAACAGTTTTTCCTTGTAAAATAAGACATAAGACATGCTTTTAAAAATGTTTCAACACTTAAATGTCTGGAACAGTATAAAGAGACAATTCATTGCTTTGTGACGATTTACATTCACCTAAAGTGTAATTAAATTGTAATAATATAGTTGGGAGAATTAAGGAATCGATCAGATCAGTTTTTCCCAATTTTTATCATTAATGATGTTCTGTTTTCACTCAAACTTTCAGAGTATCTTTAATTGTACATCTAGCATTAAAGTCACTACCTTAGCCCCATTTTTCTCTCATCTGAGCAATGTTTCTAAGTCCCTTTAACACTTCTCCTTGCAATTAATGTCATGGAACTGAGTTTTATTGTTTTTGTTTGTTCATGAACAGGTTTGGGCCCACCAAGCAAGAAACAGAAGAGGCAACAGTCACAACCACAGACATCATTTGAGAAGGAACTGACCAGTACCAGTCGCTCATCAGTCAAACAATTCAGGAGCAAGTAAGTCACTCTGTAGCATAACTGTGTATGAACAGGTGTCATAAGGTCAAAAGTCATAGGTCATTCAAGATTCATGATAACGATTATAATAATGCTAATATATAAGCAATTATTTCATAATCAAAATAGACAATGGTACAAAAGATCATAAGTGTACAGACAAACAGACAAATATATACGGCCTGAGAAGATCTAACTGACTCTATGGAGTCGGTCCAATCGACTGCAGTCGTCTATTTCCTTGAGGGGCAGGGCTACCAAGGGAAGTAGACTATTGCTTTTAGTCGATTATATGCACTGCATTGTAATACTAGCAAGTTTTTACCTGTACTGGTCCGCCACCCATCAAATATTGCTGGAGCAAACAAGCTTGTCAATAGTTATTAAGAATATGAATAAGCATCATTGGGTCAAAGACTCAACGGTGTGGTCAGCCATCAAAGGTACAGGTTCAAGTAAGTACAGGGTACGAAATCTGAGTATATTCATGATTTAATTTGCGCTTCAATTAACCGTTTTACATATTCAAATTGATGGATATTTCTTTTTCTGGGGACTTAGTGATAGTTATTCCATTAACCTGTTATAAATGGATGAACTACAAAACCAGGAATCTAGTCTGCATATATTACTTGTTGCCATGTCGGACAAGTCTCGGGCAAGCTTTCAGGTTGTCAAGAACAACCTTTGTGTAAAAAGTATGCATACAATTTGAATAAATTGGTCTGCCAGTCTATTTATATTTGTATTATTTGAATTAATCTGTACCTTTTTATAATTACGCATTTATCTATCCCATTACAGAGCGAATGAAGCAAAGAAGATGAAGGAGAGGGGGAGACAACAACACTCCAAGGGGAAGGGTAAAGGAAAGCAACAATCCAAAGGCAAGAGGAGATGAGAGCAGCAGAAAGCTACCATATGGATCTAAACAGATTATGAACTCTTACCTGAACCGATCATGAACTCTTACAGGAGCCCTGTGGCCTGTGTTTCCACTTTTTTCAAACATAACACTGAAAACAGGAATGAAAACTTTGGCTATGTTCCAGTACGTTCCCACAACTACTAAAATGTCTTGATTAAAAATGTCCAACAAAAACAGTTATTATTACCATTTTGCAATGCCATTTCATATTGATCGATAATCTATTATTGTAGCCAATTCAGTGATATCATTAGATTAGCCAAAATGAGTATGATAAAATATATTAATTGTCCTGTAATTCTATCTGTAAAGGTCTGTATAATGTCATTGTGGGATAAAGATGTCAAGCATAATGATATTTAATAAAACCATAACTACTTTTCACTGTTTTCATTTTAAAGGAATAATCACTAATTGTTGCTTGTTATATCAGGAAATTTGAGATTATTAAATCATGAAATAAAAGATAGCCACTACATACATGTTTGTGATTGATCTCGGATATTTTCATATCTTTGAAATCATGCTTCCCGTTTAGATATTTATAGTATAATCCTTGTCAAAGGGTGTTTTTATATCATCAAGAATTTCTCTTGATTTGTGCTTTGATCTCACAGGGCATGTTTTCTTCCCAGTCATTTTTTTGATAATTTAATTATTCCGTTTGTCATGTTCAAGATATATCCCCTCATGAAAGAATAAAACTTTGAAATGGAGTATGATTATTGTATTTATTGTATATATTTTGTTCTAATTACTTATTGCACTACATGTTGTCTAGCTGAAAATGTGTGTGGCTGTGTGTGTTTGTGTGAGAGACAGAGAGAGAGAGAGAGAGAGAGATAATAAAAGCAGACCACATGACAAATAAACCAGATATTGCCTTTATTGAAAGTGCATTTTACCCATTCCTTTTTTTTAAATTTCATAGTAAACCTAACTCACTATACTTGCTACTACCCAGGGTGGGGGAAAAGACGTGATTTAAAATATCGCAATTTCAATGTGTTAAAAAGAGTATATAAAAAAATAAAAAAATCGAAATACAACATACATATAATGATTTATGGAGCAGTAGAGATTAGGAAAGATCATGATGGCCTCTGGCATATATATTAATGACTGATTTGGATTTTCAATTCAGAGGAATAAATGCTTTCATTGTTTAAATGAAGTTAATCAGATTTTAAAAGTGTTTCTTTAAAAAAAAAATCAATGATGTTCAATTAAAATGTGCTCGCATACAGTTGACTGTAGTTGAGGTCAGGAGGATATTTTGAGAAATGTATAGAGTATCATAAGGAAAGGTAGGGAGAAAAACAAAGGAAACATGGAAAAAAGAGAGAGAGAGAGAGAGATGAAAGGATAAAAAGAAAGAATAACAAGAAAAGATAGGAATTTAGTAGAAGGATGAAAACAAAAAAAGACATCGCATGGGAAAGAGCAAGAAGATTTTTTGGGAAAAAATTGAAGGAAAGATGAAAGTAGTATTTATATTATTATATTATTATTTCAATATCAATATATATTATCACATAAATTTTAGAAATCAGTGATAATATATCCTCTCATGGCATCTCATTGACATTTTTTTCTTTCTTTCTCTTCTTAAATTTTCATTTCACTTTCAGAATACATTTACGCTAAGACTTCTTCACAGAGAGAGACTCTTTATGAACCCCCCCCCCCCCCCCCCCCCCCCCCCCCACCCAGAACTAAAAAATAACTGTAGATAAGCCTATCATACAAATATTGTATCAAAGGATCAAAATACATGTACGAAGCCTAGCCTAGTCTTGAAACCAGCCCGACCGACGCGCGATCCGGAAGCTCTACGTGAGGAACATCTATCGACAGGAGCCGATTTTTTTATGGTTTGTTAATGGAATTTGAATTCAAATTAAGATTTTATTAAGTAATGTGTGTGTGCCTGATAAATGGGAGGTTGTCAATCTTATGTATCAACCTTGAAAAAAGACGGTATTCCTCTTGATTTCCTGGACCTTTGGATTCTGCTGGACAGGACTTAAACTTTAAATAGGTCCCATACACTCAATCTTGTGTTTGTTTAGACATTTTTTTTTAGCCATGTTCGAGTTCGTCAAATAATTTGTAGAAGTGCTCAGCTCTGGCGAAAGACACATCGTCATTAGCTCATATCTAGATCATACATATGCAGATTAAATTAACCTATGTAGACCTAGTACATGTGTTACTACATACAGGCAGGATGCGCCGCACGATCCGATAAAGTCGATGGCATTACAAAAATATTTAAAAATTCAAACACCATTGGCATTGACAATTTGAATTTTGACATTGTTAAAAAGTGATGAAAACACATTATGCAAATTACCTTGAAAAGTTCCATTTGTCCAGTCCTCAATAGGGTCTACCATTGTGCCAACTTTGAACAAAAAAGCAATTGATTTTCTTGAGATATAGACTAGGCCTAGAATAGATCTGTCCAACAAGAAATGTACAGAAACTTGAGAATTAAAGAAAAAACAAAAAAACATGAAGAATATATGAGGTGATATCTACATTCATATATACCCCCTTATAAAATGATGCTGTTTCTATTGGAGATTTCCTTTATTAGCTACATGTACATGTATCTTCTTTCGAGTTGCCGTAGAGTTTTTCAATTTTATCTTTTTTTTCTCAAACATCATTTCATCTGTGCAGACTCCGAGCCAGAAGGCCGTTAAATCTGTGTTGAAATAGATCTTTATCAGTTAACGCCCTCCTGGCTCAAAAAGACAGTGTGTTTCTTAATTATCTGAACCTACTTGGACAAACTTTTTTTAATTTAATGTGTAGTCGACTTGTAATCCCATACTATACAAATAACGCACGTCCCAGAGTGCAATAGCGGTGAATGCAGTACACGCGAGGTTTCTTTAGATTGGTGCCGCTCTGTGAACGAGCCGCTTGCGGCGAGTTTTCAGAGCGCACCATCTGAAGAAACCGAGCGTACACTGCATTTACGTTTCGCACAACAGGGTCAAGTGCGTTATTTGTTTTATAAAATAGCGACACAAATAGCAACAAACAAAACTTTAGATCTTAAGTTAGAGTTTACGAGAGTTCGATCTAGATCTAGAGTTATGTTGGTTCGAGACTAACCTTGCAGGCTTACCAAAAAGTCAATGGGATTCATTGCCTTGGTTAAAAATAAAATCCATACAGTGGGTCTAGAGACGAGTCTACATCAGACAGCTGAAATTCCTGGCTTGATTATAAAATCCAAAAGTCAAAACAGGCCTAAATCCAAGGCAAAAGTAAAATAAAAATTTGCTTTTTAATAGTACCTCGCTCTAGCGCAGCTAGCTAGCTAGAGCTAAGCTACGCGTACGTTGCGCTGGGGATCATGGTGGAGCGTACAATATTAGCTACGCGTAGCCTACAATAATTGCAATGCACTCGAGGGAGCGCGTACTACATGTACGCGCGCGCACTGGATCTCCATGGTCACGCGTACGCACCGTGCAATATAACTTTTTACTGCGCTTTTTCTGCACTCATTTCTGCAAAATCGTGCTTGCATCAAAAATTTGTCAATGTCATGTGACGCGTATTGACCAATCACGATGCTTAAAATACTAGAGCCATTTTATAAATGCCATTATCTCATGTTAATAGCTTCAATGCTCGTAAATTTCCTTCCAAACTGTTTTTTTTTCTTTCTTTTTCCATGTTTATTCCAGATGAAATAAAATTTCAATGTCTGTATGGATTGGAGATATTGTAAAAGTAATCAAAATAACTTTGTTGATTTGTTCTTGCTCTGGACAGGTTTTGCTGGCAGAAGACTTTCACACCATGTTGGAAGGGGTCGGGGTAGTCGGGACAGGGGCCATGACTAGTATTCTTATCAGCACCTTGCAGGCAGTGGGAATTAAGGTTGGTATTGATCTAAGTGAAGTAACACATCCATTTTTTTTTTTAAGTATTCGGTGGTTTCTTCCGTGTCCAGATTTTTGTTGAAATTCAGAACTGGAAACACTGAATTTTGCATTATTTTTAACCTTCAGACAATGTGAATACTCACAACTCAAAGCATATGTTGAGTCCACAAGAAATATGATTCCACTCTAATAAGTATGGGACCTATATGGTTCATTTTCTGGAAGACACTTCTTTTTTTACATCAGTATATTAAGTATAGTTATGTTCCATATATTATCTTTTCATTCTTTTCCTCAAGCGCTTTACATCCACTGTATACATGTAAATTTGATTTGATTTTATTTTTTATTTTTTATTCAAAATACCGGTACTTTTTGTCAGTTTTATGATTCATTTCATAATCTATGGACTTACAGTAATGATGTAAATTGGATGAACAATAACATGATTTTACTGAATGCCTACACCAGGCAGTCCATATCCTATTTACCTCTTCCTTACCAAGAGAAAGTTTAACATCTTCTGTGCTCTTTGTCTTGAAAGGTTGTTGCTCTGTGGGGTCCTACAGATCAGGAGGCCAAGGAGTTGGCCCGCCAGTACCGTATCCCATTTCACACCAGCAAAGTGGATGAAGTTCTCCTACACCAGGAAGTCGACCTTGTCTGGGTGACCTGCCCTCCTCACCTCCATGGAGAGGTCGCGTCGAAGGCCCTCGGGATAGGGAAGCATGTCCTGTGTGAGCGGCCTGCTGGATTGAAGCAAGCAGATGCGGTGAAAATGGTGACAGCTGCTCGTTACTACCCCTCGCTGGTGTCCATTATGACGCATGGGTTGAGGTTCCTGCCTGCTTTCGTGAGAACAAAACGTATGATCCAGGAGGGTGAGATTGGTGAGGTGTTCCTCTGCGATGTGAAGCTCTCCTGTGGGAGCTTGCTGACTGACAAATTCAACTGGATGTGTGATGAGAACATGGGTGGTGGCTTGTTGAATATCCTAGGGTCACATATAATTGACATTGTCAGCTTCCTCGTCGGGCAGAAAGCATCGAAAGTACGCGGGATGCTGAAAACGTTCATCAAACAGAATGACCGGATCAACGGAATCCGGCACATCACAAGCGATGACTTCTGTACATTCCAGATGGAGCTCTTTCGTGGGGCTTGCGCCACCATAACATTGAATGGACACTTTCCAGGACAGTTTAAGCAGGAGATTATGGTGATAGGTTCCGAGGGGCGATTGCTTATCAAGGATGCGGACTTATACGGGCAGACATCATCCCAAACAAGGGAGACATTGCTCATGGCTGATATTCAACATGTGCCTGAACGCCAGAAATACAGCATGGCTCCAACGCCAGAGCTGCCCCTCCCCTACTACAAGGGGCTCTTGAAACTCACAGATGCCCTAAAGGAATCCTTTGAGAGAAAGAAAGAGAGACTTAACTGGGATGGCGAACCTGTAGCGTTTGCTGCGACCTTTGAAGATGCCCTCTATGTTCAGACAGTGTTAGACGCGATCAGGAAATCAGACATTTCAGGGAACTGGGAATCAGTGGAGACGTTGAGTGAGGAGAGAAATGGGAGGAGCTTCTTCCTTTCATGAAAATCAGCATTTTTCTAGGTATCCAGAGTTGAATGCGAATGTAATTTTGAAATATATTTATTATAATTGTCAGCTTATTCTTGCTCGGCATGTAGCCTAGGTGTACATACAGTGTGCTAAATATAAAGTATGGTTGCATGATTGGATTCTAATATACATGTATAGCATTAGCAGCATTTCTTGATGATATGCACCGGATGCTGTAATGGGCCAAAGAGAATATATATTCCCAGTTTTTAATACTGTACATGTTTTTCCCTGCAAGAGAGGAGGGGTCCCTTGTATCTTTATCTATTTTGTATTTTTTAATGATTGCTTTCATATTTCCTGATCAACATACTTCAATCGGTATCGCCCATATGGGGGGGGGGGGTGTCAAGTGATACTAATTTTCACACAAGAGGGACTTTAATAGAAAATTGAGGTGAGGATGAAAAGCTAAGAATCTTTTTTTACATACACTGAGATAGATTTCGAAATATCTTCTCATATTCACTCAGTAAGATTTTTTTTTTGTAATAACTCTTAGATAGCTGAAGTGCAATGCCAGAAGTTGTTTAAAATGTCTTTTATATAATGCAGGGGATTGAGTCATTGAGAGTTTTTAAAGGAACCTTTCTTTTTTAGTATAACACTAGCATATACATTTTTAACTATCATAAGATTTAACCTGCAGGAATATTATCATTCCAGTTTTTAAGTTTTGTCCATTTTTTTAATAATATGTGTAATACATGTAGTATTGTACCGGTAGTCACCTTCAACAAAAATGTACTTAGTTAATAATTATATCATCTCGAAATGCGGGTAATATATACCGGTAGATAAATTACCAATACATTTTTGAATTTTATGGGAATATACTATATGTAGTTAAAGTGAATTTCCTTCTCAGTCTCAAATTTTAATGTTCTCTCTTTTACTTTTTATTTATATGACCAAGATCATTGTTCAATAAATGACTTACCGGTATGTTATTTAATTCCATTAGGCGCTATGGCTCAGTGAAAGAGCAGTGGTCTCGTAACGATGTTGATGCGCTAGTGCCTTTTTGGTAAGGCATTTATCCTCATTACCAAGTCCCTCAGAGAGGACTTAAAGCTTACTTGCAAGCATGTATGCTTTTTTAAAGGTAAAGACCAGTATTGGCAACGCCCCAATTTCAAAAAATGAAATGGAAGCTCTCATTACCAATCATGTGAAAGAATATGTTTTGACTAATACATGATGATAAAAAATTTGCCGGGAAACCGCCTACTAATTCATATATTTGGTAAACTTATTTCTCTCATGGTCTGGTGAGAGAGATAGGGTAGTCCCATATACATCTTTCTGTGTATAGTGCTTGTAACTTTACGAAGAATGGGCCAAATTTCTTATCATTTTGATGATTCCAGAACCTTGCAGATGCTAGATGCTAGATGATCAACCTTTTCTGATCGATTCCACAACGTTTCTTTCACAATGCAATCGCATGACCATTACTGGTCTTTACCTTTAAGGATCTCCACATCTAATAAACCTCTGCTCCAAGATAACAGATCATATCATAAGAAAGTAGATTATTCCTTAGTCTGGGAAAGAGGTCAAACAAACAATAAATTAACTACTTTTTATCACACAAATACAGTTTTGTGGGGTATGTACTTTGGTAATATGTGTTTGATCAAAAATACTCAATTAAAGTCTCATGTGTATTCATAATCAAATTCATGGTATTTTATTGTATTTATTCCCAATTCATTTCATATTTTGATTTGAGGTCTTCAAATGCTCTTATTTGGGGTTTGTTTTTTTCCATATTTTTAAAAAGTAAACTTATTTTGTGTGTAAATGTACATGGCACAAGAACGCAAAATTTGTTAATTATTTTTGCATTTGTCCTTTAGCTTTGCACAGTTAATTTCGTTGTATCTTCACCATGTGAACTCAACATAAACTCACACTTAAAAAAAAAGTATGGTTTAGGCCTAGGTTACTCTTACAGAAACTGAGAAATTAAAAGTGTGTAGAAGCTACCCTACTTTGCATTATAAAGTTTTAATTCTCTGCAGTCTGCATTTCATTTGGTAGATCATATATGAGCAGGAAAATGTCAAAAATCATCAGTAATTAGGAATTCTGTCAACAATATCAATATTATGAATAACAGCTCCATGAGTGAGTATCGTCGACCCTGCTTAATAAAGCTCAATCTACCCTGCTTAATAAAGCTCAGTGCTACATGTAGGCTTCATGTATCTTGCTCAAGAAGAAACTTCATGTTTGGTAAAGATTAGAAAAGGAGAGATGCTTGTATGTTGCATGATCTAAGGAAACAGATAGGTCATACATACATGTATCAGTCACCCGTCATCGTCACACCCATCATTTACATGTACACATGTATGTCACAGCCAAATTATCATGTTCCCAAGACCTTTAGGATTTCCCTCTTCTTTCTTTTTTTGGGGGTGGTGGTGGTGGTCAGGTCAATAAGGGTCTCTGATCATACTTCCAATGGGTTTTATAATGTGCTTTTAAATAGACATTACCATATTATACTTGCCATTACCAAAGGTGTTTAAAGTATTTAATATGATTGGAAATATAGGAATGAGTTCTTTTGAATTATCGATAACTGCTTAATTTCAATATATCCCACATGTAAAACATCAGGAACATAATATAGGTTGTAAGAGCATAAGATTTGATTTTGATAATAATTGGATTTAACAGAATGCATGCAATTGTTCCGTTTCCATTTGGCTTATTAATAAAAAAAAAAAATCTTATTATGATACCTCTGTCTACGTCTAACATCTAATATTGTTTGTAATTAAGTCATCATATGGGAAAGAGAGTGGTATATTTGGATCATGATAAATAGAGAAAAAGATAATAGGGAAATGAGCATGTGTAGCTAGTATGTGTGTTGGGGGATTATGCATGTAGGGGAGAGAGAAAGAGAAGGTGGGGGTAGTGAAAAGGGGAATAGTTATTGTCATGGTGGTTATACAACTTTTTAATATTGTTTAAAATCAGAAATTGGAGATTATATTTTATTCAAATGAGAAGTGTAAGATAGAAGAGGAGAGATATAGATCTACATTTCGATTACATAACAGCACAATACTTTTGAGAGCCAGAAAGATGTTAACCGTTTGTTTATGATTTAACGCCCTTCTGGCTTTGATGTGCATATAAGAATTTGTATCCATCGTTCCAAGCAAACGACTGTTGTATGAGACTAATAGCGCTGCATAAGGAGCTGTACAGGAGATCACGTTGGTCGGACGATTGGGGCTAGCTTGATGCTGTATCTAGCTCGCCCAGAGCTCCGGCGCGGCGCAGCATCCCGTCTCATCATGCCGCTAACAAAACTAGTCCGTTGACAGCAGACAAGCAACATTCGGACAACATTGTACTCAGTTAAAAGTGGTAGACTGCAAGAAACTAGACTCTTTTAATCTCATTGGGATGGCGTCCGGCTCCGTGCCTAAGTTCTGGAAACCAGGTGAGTCGACTTAGGCCTAGATTATGCCTAATATGGCCATTCTTGTGAAAAAGCCACTGGCATGGCGCTCATTCGCATGATTCGTTTTGAAAAAGTGACTTTGTAATCACAGTAAGTAAATACTTATGAATGAATGATATTGATAATGTAGTACTTGCTGTTCATTGCTCGTGTGTAATCGTATAGATCTAAGTGCCTAACAGTACTAATCTGCTAATACTAAATAGTATGAGCTTAGACTGAAAACTTCTGTAGATTTGGTTCGTTACGTTAGCCTCTTAATCTTATTGGGTAGGGTACGTCGGCTCGTCTTTACTTTAGAATTAGAGGCGATCAAACCTATAATATAATAAAGATTAAAGAGGCTAATGAACGTAAACGAAAGAGACAGAAATTTTCGGTCTAGTAATATGAGCTATGAAAAGTATAATGGCATTGGTTTGGGGGTGATGATGATGATGTTGATGATTACGATTACGAACATTGTTGACGATCAATAATTCATGGAGTAATGCCATGGTTTTACTTGTAGATCTAGTCTAGCCTAGACTAGACTCTATTGAAAAGATACATTGTTTGTGACATTCTCAATTGAGATGAAAATCCAAGTACGTCTTTGATTAGACCGAAAGCTTCAGTCTCTGATAACGACGGTTGTTCCGCTGAGATTGCATCTGGCTCCTCTGACCGCCGCTATACGTGTATGCATATTGTGTATGGGGAATGTCAACAAATGTCAGTTTTATTAAAGAATGACCCATACCAGACGGTTATTTCTGTCTAGTCTTTGATCTACTCTACTGCAGTTTTTATCTACTTACTTGATGTCAATTTTAATTTGTGTGGTTCCTCCCCAGTTTGAAACAAAATCTTAATGGAGATATCATGGATATTTTTTTTCTGTGTCTTTTATAAATTATTATTATCAGCCAGCCTAGTAAAAGTATGAGTATGATGACTGGGCAGGGGTATTGGTTTAAAAAAAAATACCTTCAACGACAAAAAAAGGATTGTTATTACCATCTGCCTACAAAGGCCATGTTTCTTGTCCCACTTTGAGTGCCTGGTCTTAATAAACAGGTGTGACTTCTAAAACTATTTGATGAGCACTTTTGCTTAAGTACATGCATATACTGTTTAACTTTTATCCAGGAACTGCTGCTCCTGGAGAAGGCTTGAAAGAGGAGAGATCAGGTGGCAGTGGACAGGGAGAGACCCAGTGTGTCGTATTCAACCAGTATGTATCACTCTCAATCGAGCAACAGAGGCAAAGACTACCAGTATTCAAGGTGAGCAATTTTATTATTAACCCACTTTTAACCCACTTTACCTTAATTACTTGATATTGAATATAACCTGTGAGGATTGTGATTATTGACAAATACCATTTTCATTTTCATTTCAGAAAAAATACAAATGAAAAATAATTGAATAATGTAGAAGCTCTCATGCATCAAGAGTATAAAATCGTTGATCAGAAAGGGAAAAGAAAGAACCTTAAATTCAAGTATAGGGCTTAATTTGTGTATGTATTTGTCCCATTGGAATCATATTCTGAACCAACCAAAGAAACTTTATTACCTGATATTGATTGTAATCTGTGAGGATTGTTATTAGTGACCAATTTTCATTGTCATTTTCATTTTCATTTCAGAACAATGCAAATGAAAAAGAATTTAAATATATTTGAATAATAAAGAAACTCTCACGCATCAGAAGATAAAATCATTACGGTAATCAGAAAGATAAAAGATAAAAGAGCTTTAAATTCAAAGATATAATTCTTTTGCGTATTTATCCTGCAGCATCGGAATCATATCCTGTACCTGCTGGAGAGGTACCAGACCCTGGTCGTGGTAGGTGAGACAGGAAGCGGAAAGAGCACCCAGATACCACAATACCTGGTAGAGGCTGGCTGGGGAGCAGAGGGTCATGTGATAGGGGTAACACAACCCAGGAGAGTAGCTGCTGTCACAGTGAGTGGACTTTTATGGTAGATCTATTCCGAATCAATGCCCTTCCATTTGAGAAACGGTGCACTGCTGCACAATTTGGAAACATCAAAGTATAGATGTATGTTAAGTGTAGCATTGCAGAAATATTTCAAAGCAGCTTGTTATAACCCATCTTTCCTTGAATTAAATTTGTAATTATCTTCCTGAATTGCAAACATACAACATTGATTTGTTGCCAAGGTACTTTCTGCTAGTGATGTCTTCCTGTATAGTTTGTAAATATCTGTTTCAGTGCTTAGCTGGATCTATTTTTTAAGCATAGAGGAATATGTTCTTCATGTCAAAGATTTTAATTTCTTGGTCCTTGCTTCAATTGAAATCAGTGGTATTACTCTCTCTTCAAGACGATCTAGGCATCGTTTGTGAAATAAAAGACACCCGCCATTCCAGTCTGCAGATTCCAATCAAGCACTGTAATCTTTATTCTCTTCCCTGTGGTAGGTAGCCCAGAGAGTTGCAGAGGAGAGAGGAGCCATCATTGGGCATGAGGTTGGGTATGCCATTCGCTTTGAAGATTGTGCTGATCCACAGTCTACAAAAGTCAAGGTATGAGGGTCTAACAATGTTCTTTATCCCTTCAGCCATTATCTAAGTTAGTGCCATCCTGATGAAGATTCTATGTAGGAACTGAATATTCTAATTAGGAGAGTTATACAAGAAATAAAAGTTGAATAATAGTGAAGTCGTAAAAGAACTTGTTTGTTGTTATATGTGTATTTCAGTCACTCTGCAAAATTGAAGGAACTGAAGAAAAAAATACCATATCTCAGTCGGAGTTTGCTCAATGCACGTTTGAATTTACATGACATTTTTAAATCGGGAGTAAAGGGCCAGTGTACAAATTCATAGCACAAACTCCAAAACTGAGCAAACATCTCTGATTTGTAATTTCATTCCCGTTGAAATGCCCTTGAGGCTTGTTATTTGATACAGTAAACTACTGCCAAAAAACGCTGCTATGTTTTTTGTGTGCATTTAAATGAATAGCAACTGCACACAACAAAGATTCAGAGCATAGTCACTGGGCTCTGTGTTATAAGATACAGAAATCAGAAACGTATTATACATATTACGTCATCATTTTATAAAACGCAGCGGTCTCGGTGCGTCCTATCTGAACAAGGCTTTAGTCTCTTCCGTTTCACCCAGAAGTATCTTTGATCAAACAGATGAACTCACATTGAACAAGTGATTGATACCTGAGCCAAATTACAAGAGATGCCGGTTATTCTTATATGCTTTTATTAATTTGTTGACAGTTCATGACAGATGGGTACCTGCTGAGGGAGATGATGAGAGATCCTCTTTTAAAAAGATACAGGTGAGAATATCAATATGCATTTTAAAAAACCCCAAAATAAAGAAAATAAGGAACCAAACTCATATTTCAAATGGATTTTAGTATTAAGTAGCTGCAGTGAACTATAAGAAAACATTAAATGAAAGTTGTTTTTAAGTCATGGAAATTCAAATTTTAATTCTTTTTTTAATGTGTTGATTCAAAGTTAAAATTTATCAATTGGATGTGTAACTTTCATACTATATATGACTTGTCTCCATTTGGATTGTCCATAAAATGTGCTGTCTAGTGAAAACAAGACGTTGATGTTGTTATGTTCAAATGTCATAGTCGTTGTGTTTTCCGGTTGTCCGTCCCGCTTTTCGCTACTGCGATCTACTGTGATAACTCTTGAACAACTACTGATTTTTTGGTTGCTTTTATGTCAATGATTGACAACTGCTTAAGTTTCTCAGAATCATTAATGGTTGTCTGTCTCCTCTTCCCATTTCCTACAGTTTATTTACCAATCCATGTCATTAAATTGTTAAATATTTCAGATTTTCAATTAAAAAACTCTTGCAGTTACCCAAAATTGAGAATCCTTCTCTTTGTCTTTTCATTCCCTGATCTCCATCAATACAAACCCAGTGTTTTAATGCTTGACGAAGCCCACGAGAGGACCCTCTTCACCGACATCATCGTCGGCCTCCTGAAGAAGATCCAGAGGAAGAGACCCGAGCTGAGAATCATCATCGCCTCTGCTACCCTCGATGCAGAATCCTTCAGGAATTTCTTCAACCAGAATTCCAGCAAAGATAAGACGTAAGTGAGAGACTGGATCCCGATAGTATTTCATCCTTGTTTAGTATGGAATAGAAGGATACAAAATTGGAAGATTTGCCTTTCTTTGTATGTGATAGTACTGTCCCACCTGGTAATTAAGGAGAATATAAAATTAATATTATATGTGACCTGCTATGGCAAAACCCAACACTTCATGGTAAAAATGAAAATTGAGTTCTTGGTGTCATTGGAAAGAGTAAGGTATGACCTTTAATATGATACCTCATTTAAAGAAATTGATTCAAATTTGACAAAGTTATTGTCATTTTTGTGATTTCAATCACCGGAAGTTAATTATGAGATATTGAGGTTTAAAGTTAAGAATTTGGTTCAATTTTCACACAAAAAACATTCTCACATTCACTCCATAGCAACGGCATCAACCAAACAAGCTAAAGTCTTGTAATTTTTCAGGCATACTTGACACATACCCAACTTACATTTCTGTTAAAACCATTAGATTTGAATAAATATTAATAAAGTTATGATAATTTTTAAAAACAATAGAAAACAAAAGAATTTCAAAGTTTTTGTTATACTAGGCAAAGTTGCTGGGAAAACGATTCCACGGTTTATTATGTTTCATCAGTACAAAATTGTTCTCGTACACAAAATAATAGCAGGTTACATCAATGTTGCAATAATAAAATGTAATAATGCATTTTCTTAAAATTTATGCTTAATAATAGGCCTATTACAAAACCAGATGTAATAAAAATGATTTTTTTTTTTAAATATATTAAAAAAAAGATTGCAATAAAGTGAAATAACAAATTGCGTTGAACTTGAAACCCGACAGAATCTGTTTTTTAAATGATAATTACTGGAACACAAGAAGCGAGTTCAAAATGATTTATATTTTGTCATATTTAATAAAAGCTATGATAAAAAGCATTAGTCTTAATCAAGGCTATTTGAGATTAAAAAAAAAAAAAAAAACTTATAAGTCACTCGACAACAGATAACCTATAATACATGTATTGTAAAAAATATCCTGGTACATTAAGGAATGTACAATAAAGTAACAGTTGAGACAATTTGACAGAACTATTGTCTTCTTGAGATAGAGATTAATAATGCAAAAATATCAATTTCAGTCAATCAGTATCAGATATAAAATAATTATATTCTTTCATTATCAACGTAAAGAAAAAACAATAACGAATCCCATAAAAAATGCAATCTGACTAGTGACTACACTAATCATAAACTATTATGCATTAGTGCCCAAGAATTAATGATGTACAGTTTTGAATCTTTTGAGTTATCTCGTTTCATACAAAATTCACAGCCGAAGAGATCAATAGTATGTACATAGGATAGACATTGTTAATGTCAATCTAACAAAAACCTTTACAAATAGAAACATATGGCAGTGGCCAAACACCGATAATTTAGTGCTGATGTTAAGTGCTGATATGCATCAAGCTTAGAATAAATGAACACATGGAACTATTATATTGCTGAACTGAAATGGCAGAAACTATAGTGGACAAAGTGACTGCTACTTATTACATGTAGACAGAAAAAATACTTTGTACACTTCAATGCTGAATACGTCCTGGAGGAATTTAAGTACCTAAAGTTTATGGTTTGACCCAAGCTATTATATTGCTGAACTGAAATGGCAGAAACTATAGTGGACAAAGTGACTGCTACTTATTACATGTAGACAGAAAAAATACTTTGTACACTTCAATGCTGAATACGTCCTAGAGGAATTTAAGTACCTAAAGTTTATGGTTTGACCCAAGCTACTCTGGTGCTGGACATACCAAGTCCCTAGTCTCTGGCGTACAGAACTCTCTGATCTGCTCATACAAATATTTCCTGCGACTGGCATCAAGTCCTGCAGGTTGGATGAGTGGAGGAAGTGTTGGTGGAGGTGACGAGCGAGCAAGGTCAAACATCTCTTCAGCACTGTCAGACTTTTCCTTGTAAAACACTCTACCAGGATGATCTTCAGTAACTCTGAAGTGTCTGGCGAATGTTATACGAGGAAATCGTTTGAAGTGTTTGCCAAGATGGTTGGACCAGTCGTACACCTTCACAAACACATCCCCCTTCTCATTTCCAACGAGCTGTGGAATATTGACCCCTGACACAGTAGAAGAATCTACAACATTAACTATGTCCTGGAGGCAGGAGACTTTGGTCTTGCGGTACCTTTGTTTGAGGAGGCCAAAGCACCAGTCAGGGGCGAATTTAGTATGTCCCACTGGCAAAAATGAAATTGAGACAGATTTGTGGAGATTACTCTCCACACGCCAACAGAGATATTGGAGCATGGTGTTATTCTTATTCTGTCCAGCACAGTTATCAGCATTGAAGTGCACATGTTGTTCTCCAATCCCGTAGTTTTCCAGAAAATGGTGGATGTAGCTTACAACAACATTGGCTCCTTTACCACAGCTGACGCCCTCATCTGCAAGGTAATTAACTTGAGCAGGCAGACCCTCTGCAGCCATGCCAAAGATGTGGCACTTTCTTTGTGTACGGAAATACGAAGGGCCAGGTTGTTGGGGGTCAGCTGGATAATGCACTTGCTGTGCAAAGTCGAAGCTGTAATGAAAAACTACAGGCTTGGAGTTCGCAGCATTTTTCCCTAGCTTCTTGATAGAATGCTCTCTCGCGACTGCCTTTGAGGCTTGACAGGCTGTCCTGTAGGCATCCCGCTCTCTCTGGGCCTCCAGAAGATGCTCCTCCTGCCTCCTGAGTGCCTCTGTCTTCTCTTCATCAGGAACATTGACCTGCAGACATGAGGGAAAAAGCAAAACAAAACAAAAATCTCCTGATTAGTCGAATTTTCTCATCTACTATTTTTCTTTACAAATTAAATATTTTTTGTTACACTACAAAGTAGATCATTCTCAAATGGAAAACACCAGCTCACAATAAAGTAAAAGTTGGTTGACTTGGAAGAAGAAAAGAGTAAATGTATTGTAGCAAATTTCATTTCATTAAAACACCTGAAATTTGGACAGAGCTTTGTAACGTTTTCCTAAGGATCCAAATTATAATATTGATTATGCTTGGTACATTAATAGCTACATACATGTATATTATAACTCTACGTGAAAATACTTTAGCACCATTGGGGGCAGCAGCGTAAAACAAAATGAAATTTAAAACAATCGGTATTTAGCCAACACACACCTGTCTGGTGATAAGGTTGTTGTTCTGCTGACATGTCCAGCAGAGATCCGTGGCCGGCTTGGCAACAACCACATAGGAGAGAAGGTCGCTCCACAGCTTTCGGAAGGTAGACTCAGCTACGGGTCCATGCTCTGGAGCAGCATCTCTGTAGAGCCTCCACAGATGCGCCTTGGTGACGTAGGACGGCAGCAGTTTCACATCAGCCGATTTGAACCCTGGTATCCTGCCTGGTAGGTGAATGCAGTGTTCTGCGGTGAAATTCAAAATAAATTTGACGACCGCCTCTACCTGCTCTAGCTTGAGAAGTTTCTTGCCTCTCCGTCCTCCTGGAAAACAATGAACAAATATTGAACAAAAGTAAGATTTATTATGATCAGTATTGTGTCGGAATAGATTGAAACAGTAAGTAGAGGGATTAGATGTCAAGTTTTGAGTCCAGTTGTAGTGAAAATAACTGTCAAAAAAACCATCGCAATTAACCTTTGGTAGATTTACTATGACTAAATGCATCACAAAATGATAATACAAATTATTATGAAGTCACACCTGAAGATAATAATAATTCAATATAAATGTAATTAAAATAATGTTAACTTCATTATAAATTTCATCATCTGTGAAAGGATAAGAAAACCACCTCACCTGACTTCTTTCTCCTTGGGATGAGTCCATTGCTGGCATACCACTTCTTGAGATTCGTAAACTTCTGTGGCCCAATCTCCATCAAGTAGAAAAACGTATATCTACAGATCCGTTTCTGCCCATAGCAAAAATTCCGCATCCTTGTGTTTTTCCTCTCCGTTGGCTTAGATTTCTTCCCCTGGGTCATATTTCCATCATTGATGGAAGACGAAATGATACCCAGGAGAAGTAAATCCTTTTCGAACTCCGTGAGCTCTTTGGTTGAATATCTGAAATGGCAAAATAGAAATGAAAAATAATAATGCTACTAGTATCTACTTCCAATGATAATAATGATAATAAGAAAACCAAATGTCCAACTTGTTGTATTTTTTTCTTCATAAGATACCAGTAGACTGCAGTTTAGTGGTGAAGTATTTTATAAAAGCATACATATTCAGGGTCTACTGATTAATGCTGCAAAAAAGGAGAAAATCTAATTAGCTTAAAATAAATGTAACTATATTTTGCATTAAACTGCAGCTTGTACATAAACATCCAGTCCTTAGACATTATTTTAAAGAAATAGGAGTAAATAGTGACAGATCCAATCATACCTTATGGACTCTTGTTCGGCTACAGAGAATTGTTCTATACAGCGTCTTCCATTGAAGATACGGCAGTTGCATTTATTCACGCGATCCTTTAGCGGTTCCAGATCAAGATCTATTTGTTGGGCCAGATTTGTAGCCGCTGCCGCCTCCTCCTCCACGTCATCAATGACAGGACCCGGTCTCCGTATGACGCTTTCATTGTCACTTGACAAATCCATAGGCTCCTCTGCCTCATCGACCCAATCGCTTTCATCGCCGCTTTCATCGCGGCTTTCACAAGGCTCTGCTGGTCCTGGACCTGCCTCCTCGAACTCATCAGACTCTGTTAAGTACAATTATAAAATAGAGATTCAAAAACTAATATCAACAAGAAGTCTAGACTCCGCAGAGATTTTTTTTATCGGTATGAGAAGCTTCATAAATCATAATCTAGATCTAATTTAATTATAAATTTTAATTAGTGCACTTAAAATAAAGTAATCTAGCTTTTGTTGCTCGAACATTTTTTTCTCGAAACAAGTCTTTAATAAATAATATGGGCGTAGACCTAATTAAGTAACTTGATTACCTTTTTAATAATGATAATATTAATAAACCTACCAGATTCAGAGTCGGAGCTAGGCCTAGGAGAAGAAGGAGTTCCTCTCTCGCCCGCGGCCAGGGGCTCGGTCGGGTTCGCGAAGTAGTCAGCCAAGTGTTCGGTCAAGCCATGCACGTCCATACCGCACGCCGATGCATCATTCAACAAAGAAGCGACGGTTTTATCCGTTAAATTCCTCTTTTTCCTCGACATTGTACTAGCCACTCGACGAATACACGTATTTCACTTGATATATGAAACTCTAGCTCATTAAAAACAAACTTCTGAACAAGTTTTCGAAGAAAAAGCTGGTGTTTCGATGCGAGAATTTGACCGCTGAACAATCACAACAACAAGGCAATGACGTCATGTGCGAATATTGGCGAATCAAGTGTCTGGATTTGGATCACGTGGCTGGCAACGGGCTTTTGTTTACGGCCTGCTTGACAGCTTATCGAAATGATGTCATCTTTTATGGCATTTTTCATTGGGCAATTTTATTTAGGACCGCCCAATATAACCATATTTGGTATGACCGATCCTTTCTCGTTATTTTCGTACCAAGTACGTCAGGGATCGACTCAAACGTGATAAACTGAGAGGGAAAACAACAAGCGATGAATCGCGAACTTTCCCCTCTTTTGACCGCATTGTTTCAACTAATTTCACTGGACAATGGAGCACATGATTAGATACAAAATATAATTAAAAATACTTCTAGATCGTCTTTTGAGTTCATTTTTTCTCTAAATCAATTTATAAAAAATAGACTTTCTGACCATGCAAAAATCTCAGTTGATCCCTAAATTCGAAATTTCATGTTCAAACGGGCCTACAACACAATGGGATTTGCCGAGAAGCGTCGGGTTTTGCCGTAGCGGGTCACATATGTTGTCTGGGTCAGCCGTTTCAGATAATACTCCAGAAGGAGGCAATAAATAATGGGATGAACTTTTCTTTATTTTACATTTGATAATTGTAACAATACTTGGTTGACATGATATTGGGAGAAAGTCTTCAAGAATTTGAAATATTCATCATCATTCTTCCCTTTTGTTGTACTCAATATATTGTAACTTTTCATTGTGACAGTGATGAATGCTAAAGGCATTGTTTAACAATGTTAAATCTGAGATGCATGGCCCTAGGTGTTATCAGTGTCTGTGATATGGTATAATATTGACGCCCTAAAAAAATTGCGATTCAAAATCATGAAGTGCCTCAAAAAAGTAAAAATCTTTGAGTGACCGGTTTTACGATACTCATTTTCCTCAATAGTCTGTGTTATAGAAACCGTTAATTCCAATCATAAATATCTTGATAATCAGTCAGGCATGTAAAAGTCATGGGATTCATGTATGACCTAAGGTTTATAATTTTGATTGTAGCATGAGCTGAATCCAGGATTATTTTTTTTTTTAATTTGAAGCAAAGTTACCCAATCCCTTTAATACAGGGAGTAGCCTTGACAGGGTAATGGCCTCTGCTACTCCCTCATGTCCACATCATCACAATGTAGGCATCTTTTCTCATTTGAATTATTTGTCTATTTTCTGTACAATGTTGTTCTTAAATTGTTTATAAACATTTTTGTTGGTAAGAGATGTGAAATAAATGAAATTGAATTTGAACATCAGATCATGACATTTAAACATCTTGTAAAAATTGCTTTCTCTTGTTCTTTTTCCAAAGTGAGGATACTGCAGCTATACTCACAGTAGAAGGAAGAACTTATCCAGTTGATATATTCTATGCTACCAGGTTAGTTTCCATATTTCCAGATAACTTGAATGCTCTAACGCCTCATCATGGTAGCTCAGATAGGACTGCAGGGCTCTCAGGGAGACCAGTATTAATACTGATGGGGCTACCCCAAGTAAACTAGACATATTATTATTATTATTGTTTTTTTTTGGGGGGGGGGGTTTGCTGTTGTTAATATCATTAAATATATATGCTTGTTGAACTGTTCATGGCATTAAACCCTTTCAGTGCCAGTTTTAAAACAAGCTTGTCTTTCTTCTTCTATTTTGAAAAGAGTTATGAATTGCCACATTGATATCATCTATTACTGTATCAAGATAAGGCCTAAAAAAAAAGATGTTGTAATGCCCTTTAGGTGCCAAAACATGGGTCGGTCGGTTGCAAATCTTTTCTATTTTTTTGAACTTTTTAAATATTTTTTACTCCCTCTTTGAGCTGATATTTCTCAGTTTTGAATAATTTCAAACATTTTTTCTTCTAAAAAGGGGTTTTAAATTATTTTTTTTTAAAGCCGGCCGTAAATTTCAAGATTTCTTGGGTCGGTCGCAAAGGGTACTACAACATCTTTTTTCCCGGCCTTAACGTGTATGATTTGTGCAAGTCTCCTCAAGAACCAGAAGGGCTCACATCGTCTAATACATGGAGATAATGCCCAAACAGACAATATCTGCTCACAGTGGACTCTATCTGAAGATACATGTACATGTTTTCTTGTATTATTTAATGCTGGTGAGAAGCATATTCCCACATTGTGGACGAATAAATCAATATCAATATCAATGTGCTTGAAACCAAATTGTTCTGAAAGGCAATGATCTAGACAGAAGTTAATAAGATGTTTATTTTCAATTTTTCACCAGTCCTGTACCAGACTACTTGAAGGCTGTGGTGGAGACCATCATGAAGATCCACAAGTCAGAACCAAAGGGTGATATCCTTGCTTTCCTTCCGGGTCAAGATGAGGTCGAGAATGTCCTCAGAATGGTCATGTAAGTTCAGAGAGATTTCACTCCCCTTGTATTATGATGAGGATTTGCTCTTGCTATTGTAGATTTGTGTCGGAGCTCAACTCACTGGTACTCTCCGGCATTGCTAGAGAGGGAATGTGACCCTCTCCCTCATTTAAAATGTGTAAAATCTCTGAAAATATAAATAAACATGGCTCTGCCCCTTTGGCTACATTACATGTTCCATCTTTCCTGAAGCACCCAAAGGTCATTTTCATATGCAGCCACTGTTTTATGGAATATCTTGACGGATTACCTTTTAAATATAGAAACAAACGAAAAGTTCAGAAGTAATTTGAAAACAAATTCATTTAACACTTTGTAAAATCTCACAGTTATGAACCCAGTGCACCATTTCCACTCCTTCTGTATTCTGTTCTGTACAGCTCATAGAGACATGCAATTATGCCTATGTGTTTATTTGCTAGACATAAATGTTTAATTATCATTGTTATTATTATGATCCCACGATATCAGCAAATTTGATTGTCTTAATATATCATCCTTGAACATTGTAGCAGATTAGTTATTGCAAGGGTAATAATGAGAAGTTATGACGCCTGGCTGGAATGCACCCCAGGGAGTGGAGAATGTGCATACATTGTGTGCGGGTAAGCCTGAATCCTATGACCGGGTAATAATATAAAAGTGCTTTGAGAGGGCCTTCGGTCCTGAAAAGCGCTATATAAGAACTAGCTATTATTATTATTATTATTATTATTATAAACTGTTGTTTTTTTTCTGCCCATGCAGAGACCAGATCCGAGTATTGCGAGACAGCTCCATGAAGATGATGGCCCTGCCCATGTACGGTAGTCTCCCGGCCAACGATCAGATGAGGGTCTTTGAAAACGTGGGCAAGAACACGAGAAAGGTCGTCATAGCAACCAACATTGCCGAAACATCCATCACCATTAATGGCATCGGATATGGTATGTATTTTTGAATAATTAATTAGATCTACAATACTACAATACCCGACACCCCCCCCCCCCCCCCCCCCCCCATCATAGACATGATTTGCTACTTGCTCTGGCTGGTGTGGTATAAATATTTTGATTTTCACACCAAGCTCTGTACAGCTTGTTGAGTTTTGACTGGGAGCACTTTTATTTATTTCTTTTATCATACAAGGAGTCATTCTCTTTTTAATGTCTTCTTTGTTTTTTCTGGAGAACAGTAGCATAACCCTTGTATGGCTGTAATGAACAGGGGATCGCTGACATATTTGCTGATATTTCAAACATTGTAGGGAGTGGAGATTGTGCACTCAGTGTGTGCGGGCAAGCACTGAAATGAATCCAATGACCGGGGTAATGATATATCTGTAAAGCGCTTAGAGACGTCCGAGACGTATTAAGCACTATATAAAAGCTGAATATTATTATTATTATTATAGGCAGATGTCAGAATATGTTAATCGCTGTTTCTTTACATCAAATATGGATTGTATGGAGGGACCATCAAAATTAATCTTATTTAAAAGATGGACAAAATGAAATCTATTTAAATGAGGAAAGTACAGGAGGTACAATAACTGCATTTAATCATCCATGTATGTAAATTTGATTTATTTTATGTATGATGTGCAATATGTTGAAGTTTCCATTATTATTATTGTTAATTTATTCCTTGAACTAATTTATGATCGTTTCCATGTTGACGTATTTGTAATTTTTCTTTATTTCTTTGAACTTTGTAATATTTGTTTGTATCAGTCTCCCGACCGTTCGAACATGGAATTTTGACTCAATAAACCAAAATGTACGAATGAATTAATTAATTAATCCTAATCCAGTCATTGATGGCGGCTTTGTAAGGATCAAGGCTTTCAATGCCAAAAACAGTATCGAGGGGCTTGTCACCGTTCCCGTGTCCCAGGCGTCGGCTCAGCAGAGGGCAGGCAGGGCGGGGCGTGTCAGATCTGGGAAGGCCTACAGACTCTACACAGAAGAAGACTTCATGAAGTTACCCAAGACGACTGTGCCAGAGATGCAAAGGTATGTCTACCATCAGCAGGGATGCTGTCAGTCCCCTATCCAATATGATGTTTATTAAAATTTCTTTTCCTCTGTTTGTTTGTCCCTTTAACATTAAGGTATTTTGTAAAGCACATTAGGCAATATTTTATTGGATTTTGTGCCATATAAAACACAATTGCATGTATGTACTGGTGTACGTATGAATGTGTGTATGTAAGGTCTCTCTCTCTCTCTCTCTCTCTCTCTTTCTCTTTTTAACTTTTTCTATAATTTTTCGCCATTTCACTGGTTTTCCTTGCAAGTCTGTCACCCAAAAAGTAGTTATTTTCTCTGTCATCAATTTTCTCCCTCTTGTTGATATTCCTCATCCAGTAAAGGGCTGATTTTTTTAACCGAAACAGTAGTAACGTTGCCACTCGCCCGATATCGCCCAACAAACAATTTGCTATGTGGGCAGGAACAACCTTAAGTAAAGTCATCCTCCAAATAAAGTGCTTGAGGAAAGAGAATAGGGACTTTTAGATTTGCGTGGACTGATACGTGTGACGTCCATTCAAGGCAGTGCATTAAAAGGACGTCGATCGTAGCAATCCACGTTGTCGTGCAAATCTAAAAGTTCCTAATGTCTTGCGCTTCTCGTCCTCCCCCCCCCCCCCCCCCCCCTTAAAGCTGATCTGTACTAGTTTATAGGAGGGATTAGACCACCATGCAAGGTCACTGAACAGGTGGTTATCTCATCAACAGCTCTCAATTAACATAAGAAAAAGAGGATCATGGGGGACCAATGGTCACTGATTAGGCATTTTTTTATATGGAGGGAACAAGTAGCTACAGGTAGGACAGCGTGGCTTTAAAATGTCATTAGCAGTGCTAGTTCACCTCACACTCCTATTTTTTTTCTTCAGTGAATGACTTGCCATGTCTCTTTTGATTCTAGGAGCAACCTGGGTACAGCCATCCTCCAATTAAAGTGCCTCGGGATCGACAACGTGCTGCGCTTCCCATTCCTCTCCCCTCCATCCTCGAAGGCTATGGTCAGAGGGCTAGAGCTACTCTATGCCCTGGGTGGACTCAATGACCATGCCAAGCTGTCCGAACCTTTAGGGGTCAGGATGGCCGAGCTACCGGTCAATCCCATGCTGGCCAAGATGCTACTTGTATCGGGTAAGTTACGTCTAATTCAATTCAATTCAATTTTGGTTTTATTACAAATATACCAAGTAAAAATCCAAAGACTATCAATACTTGGTTCACATTGTATCATATAAAAATGCAATAAAAACAGTTGATTTAAAAATGCAGTAATAAGTTAAAGCTAAAGACCAGTTATGGTCATGTGATTGCATTGTGAAAGAAACATTGTGAAATCGATCAGAAAAGGTTGATCATCTAGCATAGATGTACTGCAAGGTTCTGGAATCATCAAAATGATAAGAAATTTGGCCAAGTCTTCATAAAGTTAGAATCACTGTACATAGAAAGATGTATATGGGACTACACACACGTGCGCGACACGTGCATTTGTATCTCTCAACAGGCAAGAGATACACTAATTTACCAAATATATCAATTAGTAGGCGGTTTCCCGTCAACATTTTAATCATCATGTATTATTCAAAACATATTCTTTCACATGATTGGTAATAAGAGCTTCCATTTTATTTTTGAAATTGGGGCGTTTCCAATACTGGTCTTAACCTTTAAAGTACAAAAAAAATATCACGAACAAACAAAAAAAAGGATGGCAAAACTGTCTTAGTAGATCTGAGATTTTTATTCCATGTGATATTTTATATGGTGACAATTATTGATTTTCCCCCGATTTAGAATTGATGTTAGTAGCTACATTGTATAATTGTTGATAAGTCATCACAGAAAATAGACAATATATGCATTATTCAAACATATTTGTGGCTTACACCCAGTAAATAAGATTGATTGATCAATCTGTATTGAAGAACAAGTCAGAAAAATCTTGGAACCAGCGGGATTTGAACCTGCCATCTACTGCTTGCCGGGCAGCGACTCTACCACCAGGCCATCACTGGTCCATGGCACAGTCACGATGAACTAGAAACAAATACCTAAGCTCTCCTGATCGATCAATCGATCTTATTTACTGGGTGTAAGCCACAAATATGTTTAAATAATTGAAATTTCTCCCAGGAAGCATTACATTTATAAAATATATGTATTGTTTTACAACAACTACATAAACCCTCTTGGACTTGCTGCCAGACAATTAAGAACCACATTCATTGATTTAGTATACAATGTAGTATGATTATTGTCCAAGTAAAGTATTACCGAAGTTGTTCATGAAGCATCAATTTCTTTGGGAGTTGATTGTTTTAGGGTAGCTTTCTTAGGGACAATGGCATGGGGTTAGTTGTCAAGTACACTGCGGGTATTTTTTCTTGGTACAGTTCAGTTATGATATCTTGTTGATCTGAGCCCTGTTTCATAAAACTTGATATCAATAACAAGTTACCAGCTACTGTTATAAGCTACTGAAATCATGGCATCTGATTGGCTGAGAGCAAATTTATCATAGAAATTAAGCATTTTTTATAGATAAAAAGTTTTATGAAACTGGCCCCTGTTACATGTTTCTGTATTTCCATTCAGGAGAGTATGGATGTTCAGAAGAGATACTCACCATTGCTGCAATGCTACAAGTCAACAATGTATTCCAGAGTCCTGCCAATCAAAGGAATACAGCTGTGAGTTGCATTTGTTTTTGTATGATATGCCAAGTTCATATGGGTTGATAAATTGAAATCCCTACAATGCTGAAGAGGCGAGATGGCTCAGTCGGCAAAGCGTCTGCCTGTCAAACCAAAGATCCCGGCTTCGAATCCCACCCAGGCAGATGACTGAAGCCTGCGTTGTGTGTTAACGTGCCCCTCCCCTTGTTCATAGACGCAGGCTATGTTAAGTGGAAAACACTCAGTCCCTCGTTAAATGGAGGCCGCGTGTAGAGAAGAGTCATTACCTTTGCACGTTAAGAACCCACTCCACTATTCGTATAAGAGTAGGGGGAAACCCGGTGTAGTGGTCCACCTGCACACACCCCAGTATAGTACGATAATACTCTGTAAAGAGTTATGTACTCAAAATGGAAGAAGAAGAAGAAGAAGAATGGTCTAAGCAGGCGCGGATCCAGGAACCCATTTCTATCGGCCCGGCTATGGCAACCCCTTTGTGTAAAAACTAGATAAACTCTGTTTTTCTCAGATAAACTCTGGTTTTTTCAGATAAACTCTGTTTTTCTCAGATAAACTCAGTTTATCAACAGATAAACACAGTTTATCAGAAAAACTCAGTTTATCAGTTGATAAACTCAGTTTATCAGTTGATAAACTCAGTTTATCAAGAAAAACTCAGTTTATCAATGATAAACTCAGTTTATCAACAGATAAACAGAGTTTATCAGATAAACAGAGTTTATCAGTTGATAAACTCAGTTTATCAGAAAAACTCAGTTTATCAGTTGATAAACTGAGTTTATCATTGATAAACACAGTTTTTCTGATAAACTGAGTTTATCTAGTTTTTACACAAAGGGCTTGCCATAGCCGGGCCGATAGAAATGGGTTCCTGGATCCGCGCCTGGGTCTAAGTTCCTTATGTAGACTTGTAGGCATTGTTCCCATATTGCTCAATGGAGGCAAAAGGTAAAGAGTTCTTAATATCATGTGCAATATAGCTACTACCCGGATACAATGCCTGCATAGAATATGGTAGATTTGAAGTTTATTTCATGTTTTGTTTCTGTATCTGTTGATAGTTTATTGGAAACACTGATGTTTTTTTAGAATTTAGTTTGAAGTTAACCTTCTTTAGTTACTCCGGAGTTATGGAGAGTGACACGATGCCGTATAATTGTGACAAACCAGTAAAAATGTCTTCATTTGGGATACAGGTATTTTGTAGAAAAGCCCTTTTCTGGGCATCCAGTGAATTTAGCTTCATATAGCATAAGGATTTGCCCAACTCTTTCTGTAACACACTGCATGGGGAAACAAAATATGCTAACATTCATCTTGTTACCTATTAGATAGTCAACAACTTCACCATGTAACAAAGATGTAGGAGCATATTTTGTTCTGTTTATATAAAATATAAAGGGTCCTAAAGTATAACAGCATCTTAACTACTGACCATGTTGACTTGAAATAAATAGATAACGCAGTATTCTTCAATTGTTTAATTTTTCTAGGAAAGAGCTAAAAGAAAGTTTGGAGTTAAAGAAGGAGATCATCTGACGTTATTAAATGTCCATGAATCATTCATAAAGGTAAACATGAATGAAATATGTTTAAAAATTCAATTTAATTCAATTAATTTCATGAAATACAAAGATATAATATATGATAAAATTATGCCTGGGAAATTGCATTAACAAGCCGATGGCTTGCAGAAAATGCAGCGATTCCCCTTACAATCATAATAATGAAACGGCACAATCATAAGCACATTACAAACAGTAAACAAGTAAGTGAAGAAATAGAGAAGAAGAAAAAAATATATATATATATATATTGTCAACAATGAATAAAGAATCAGAAGTGTGAAGCTAGTAGATATTTATAAAGTTTTGTTTAAAACAGATAATATTGTTATGAACATTTAGAGAAGATGCCATGCATGTGGGTGGATATTGATATTGAATATGTAGACATTTTTTAAAGATATTGAATAGCCCTGTAATTCATAAACAATAGTATTTTATCATTATTATTGAATGAGATTCAGGTGGTATGACAAATATACAATTAAATGTATAAACGATTGTAGTACATGTACACTGTATATACAACCATTTTATTAATTCCAAAAATCTCAGTATTTCGTGCATTCCAATTTATTTAAATGACGTTGTGATGCATATTGTCATTTCGAAAACCTACTCTCAGGTATTGAAATTTATCTTTATTCAGAAAAATACTCAAGCCTGATTACATATCAAGTACCTTATTACGTAAAATTAAAAAAAACAGCAAAGACTATCAAATGTTAATCTCACATTTCTTTTCACACAACAGTACAAGAAGAACTCAAGATGGTGCAGAGAAAACTTCTTGAATAGCAAAGGTACGTTTTCAATGATACTATTGATTTTAGGTTTGAGTTTGGATATAAAGTTGAGTTTGTTTCTCTTCTTTCAACAATAATGAATACAGATACTGAAGGTTGAAGATATATTTACTTGTTACAGGAATAAGGTAGTGTTGCTAAAGAAATCCCACAGTATTTGAATAATTGTTGGGTTTGTTAGGAAAATAATAAAAGTTAAGTACACAAAATATTCATAAAATATTAATTAGCCATATATGTAATTAGCCATATATGTAATTAGCCATGATTACATTTACTTTTTGATATATTGTTTGCTACTTCGTTTGGTGTTTAGTAATACTTAAAACTTGATTTTTAAAATGTGTGCGTTTATCATAATATACTGCAAGACAAGTTGTAAATCCTACACTAAGTTTTCACTTTTAGCAAAGAACATCACAAATTCAATTTGATCCGATCAAATCCAATGAATGATTAATTCATCAACAGGCAATCACAGACACAAATTATAATGTAGAAATATAGTCTGTGTTATTTAAAGCTTATCTGTAGTAGTTTATAGGAGGGATTATACCACACTGCAAGGTCACTGGACAGGTGGTTATCTCATCAACTCAGCTCTCAATTAACATGAGAAAAAGAGGATCATGGGGGACCAACGGTCACCGATAAGGCATTGTTTTTTTTAGCAAGTAGCTACAAGTAGGACAGTGTGGCTTTGACACAAATATGACTTAAATTTTTGTTTAATTTAATTATCACCATACAGCCCTTATTAGAGCCCTGGCGGTCAGGGAACAGCTGAAGAAACTCCTCAAGAAGTTCAAGGTCAAGATGGTGTCAAGCGAGGGCGACATGGACACGGTGCTCCGCTGCATCGTAGCTGGTTTCTTCCCCAATGCTGCTCACTACCACCCCAGTGGGGAGTACAGGACAATACGAGATGACTACCCGCTACATATTCATCCCTCTTCTGTTCTGTACACCCAACCTCCACCAAGATGGTAAGAGCTAGGACAGTATTGAGCTTCAAATGACTTCCTCCTGAAAATATCCCCCCTTTATCTGTCCCCTTATGACATCGGCTTCCCTCAGATAATACTCCCTCCCCCCATACACACACACACACATACCCTTCTAAGACGATTTCTAGTATTACCCCTTGGGGAACTACTTATGGGGTAATTGTCCGAAGAAAAGGTTGTTGGGAAGGGTGGGGGATAAGGGTGGGGTAGTTATCCTGGTGGGTCATTGTCTTTGGTGTAGTTTTCTGGGGGTTATTGTCCTATTTTTCCTATGAAGCAATGGTCTTCAAACTGTTTTATGAAATGTGTGAAGCCCAATCCCAATATGATGGCCCGAGATAGTAAAATCTTCTCCAGACAAATCTCCAGATCCCCAAGTTGCATAATCATGGAGATGCAATTGCGTTTGCCAATAAGCCAGTCCTCGTTATCCTAGGAGTCATGACTGACCTTTTGGGACCCTATTGATGATGACGTTCCAACCACTTCCATCCTGGGCATAGCGATTAGATGTGCAGATGTTCATGCCAGTAATCTCTTTAACTCTTATTGTGCCACAGGGCTAATCCCCGTTGTGCCAGGTTGTTTTGGAGATAATCTGATTAACACGAAGGTTCTATGAATGGTGAGTGCAAAACACACAGCACTGCCCAATGAGCATGAACAATAACTGCTCTTACGAAAGCGCCCTTGCACGCACATGGCACTCAATAGGTAGCGTGCATGCAGCCTCATGGCAGGCTATGGGTTAATAAACGAAATCTTATTAATTAATTTCTTTAATTAATAAGCAAATACTTTTCAAGGTATCAGGCAAGTCTACATTTAAACCCCTACCTTTAACAACATTTTTAATCGCTTATCCATTCATTCATCATGATTTTTTTCCTCTTGCAGGGTGGTGTATAACGAGGTCCTTCAGACTAGCAAGGACTACATGAGAGATGTGACTGTTGTCAAATCATCATGGTTGTCTGAGATAGCTCCCCACTTCTACCAATTTGGAACAGTGAGTCAGTTTTTCTAATTTTTGGTGCAAATAGGCATGCAATAAAATACTTATATAATACTTATCGGCAGTAGTTCAACAACAAAAATCGTTGTATAATTGGTCATGCAATAATAGTGAACATTTATAATGCCCCATGTCTGTCAAAAATGACACTCCTGGGGCAGTTGTGTGGAAATTGTATAATTGTAGAAATGCATTCCTTTTATGGCATGGCCTATAAACAATATTTTGTCTTCAGAGGAACCAGAAATTGCCAATTCTTAGCCGATAAACTTTCAATAGAGAAGACTGTGTATGCAGGTTGGACCTTTTTTTCCGAGTCTGAGATCAATCCTTACACATTTTATAATACATGTTTTGCATTATTTCAATATCACAAACACAACATTTTTTTATTCATCACAGGTCAATGAAATAGCTGCGAAACGACAGAAGACTGATGGGTGACACATGGACACATAGGCAATGCGCGACATAACTACAGTGCAATACACACTCATGAGATCATGTACACTTTCTGATATGTGAGGAAAATTCTCTCGAAGTACAATGTACATGCGTATCCATCTTCTCAGCCTGGTAGCCTAGCTTGTCAGCTGAAATATTTGCCAGTGTATGAGAATGAGGAACTGATGGAGGAAGAGATAGGGGTAGACCGACTAGGACTTGGACAGATAACATCAAGCAGTGGACAGGCATGTCATTTGATCATCAGCTAACGAGAACAGCTGAAGACAGGAAGTTATGAAGAACCTGTGTCTCTTTACGAAAAGCTCTCGTTAAAACTATACCCCACCACTATAACACAGGGACCAATGTAAATCAGGTGGGGTATCACAACCCCACTTTCGTTTCTCTCGTTAAAACTTTGACAGAGCCTTACAGCTCTTCGCATCTGTACTCTTCATCATCTTACGTAATTCTTATAGTGTAAACATACTCTTACTGGGGCTCTGCCTGAAAGGAAATAAGAAGTAGGAAATATATGTTTTAACTTGTTTTAAGATATTTTCATGTCCACAAGTCACTTATAATTTAGATGAAGACCATAATGAAAATTCGAACGAAGCAAAATGACCCAGAATGTGCGATATAACAGGAATATTAACAATGAAAATTAACACTCTCCCTTCCTCTCTACCTTTATCATGCTTATCTCTATCTCCCTCTCTAGGTCTGGGCGGGGGGATTACATAGTATAGCGCTAGTCTGAGAGTCAAATGGGGGTTTCAATTTTAAACAGTTTTTGTCATGTCAAGGTCCATTTCATTGTTGCCTAAATGGCCTCCAAGCAATGGGAGTTTTTTTTCTCAAGTAACTGAAAAAATGCTGCAAGGTGCGAACTAAGCCAGAGTCATTATGGTTTTCGTGCTAAACGTTTACTTAACCGTTAAATGGATACGGGCAGTTTCGTTTAACCGTTACATACATGCCAAGCGCGAAGTCCTTTTAGCCGGGGTCCAGGGCCCGCTTTAGCTCTGGGTTACCAGATGCTCTCTGGTGCAATCTGAGCCTATTTTAGGGACCATTTCCCCTAAAATTCAACCCAAGTTTATGGGTAATTTTTGTGTCATACCAAACAAAAAAGTGATTGAAGTGAATTCCACATTTTAATTTATCCTTGGCAGAGGCAGAGCAGATAATAGACATAGATTTAATTAGCCACTCATGCAGAGTGATGCATTTAAGTCTAGTTACTTTTTAAATAATTATACATGACATAGATCTATGCATAAAATGAGACTGGCAATAATGGTATTTAACTTTCCAGACAACAGTCAACAATCCAAAATTATTGTAACTCATTGAGCTACATGTAAATGAGGTTGTCAAAATCAATGTCAGCAGAACAAGACATCTGTTGAAAAAATATAATTATTTCTTCATGAAAGGAAGGAGCATTTGGCTATGGGCACCACATACTTTCAAGTTTCAAAACAATGAATTCAGTGCAGGTGTTAAACACCCCTGAAGCTTCTAAGTTTCTGCATGTTGTGAAACCCCATGATGCTTTTATTTTATGGGTATATTTAAAGTTAAATAATTATACAAGTACTTGTATTATAATGTAGTTGATGGATAACCCATATAGAATGGTATCAATGAACTGTTTTGCGCATATCTTACCGGTTAACACTGTTCAGTGTTAGTTTCAAGGTACCATGTGACAGTAATTAAGTCATTCTGATTATTTGGAGGTAGAAGCTCCAGCATGAAGGGCCAAGTATGTAGACTTCTTTGCAGCCTGCAAGACATCATCACTGTATGTTGTGGTATAGCATTTCAGGTTTCTGTTCTGCATACTTAGTTTGTGTGTGAGAAGGGAGCTCATAGTTCTGGTGCTCATATTACCATGATGTTTAGTCTTGATCTTATCTACCATCGAGAAGACCCTCTCTGCATCACTGTTGCTGTGAAATACCACCAAAACACACTTCATCACTTGGGAGAGCAGGGAATACTTTCTCTGGTATCTTGACAGTTCCATCATCTGCCCAATTACATGCCACTTCTGGTCAATTCTTGTCACATCTTTGGTGCGGTCATCTATTGTTTCATCTATTTGATACAGATTGAACTCGTCCTGAAGTTGATCCATCTTGTCATCTGGTATTAAGCTGAATCTGGAGGTGAAATATTCCACTGTAGTGAACTTGGCTGTGCTTCTTTGAGAAATGTCAAGCACCTCTGCATTCACAAGGAGCTCCTCATTGAAAGGATAGTTGTGAATCATGTAGCTTGCTGCAGCAATGTAGAAATTCTTTACACCTTGGAAAAATTTCTTCAAATCCAAGGAGGCCTCATTCTCTTTCAAGAACTGTCTGCATTCAAACCCTATTTGAACCTCATCATTGCTCTTGTGGTGTGCTTCATTGGCTAGATCTATCTGGGTGATGTTTTTTGCTTGGCGAATTACATTAGGTTTCACAAATCTGGACAGAAGTCTAGACAGTTGACTTACAAGAATTCCATGCATGCGATGAATTAGTGGTTCGTCTCTTTGGAATAGCTGGGGATAGAGGAATAGGAAGACACATGTAGAGCTATTGATCATAGAGCCAAATAAACATTTGTATTACGCAATCAGATATATTGATATTTTAATGACATCAGTGACTCCACATAGGCAATTACAACTGAATACATTCTTGACAATAATCAAATTCAATGTTAAATTTTTATAGTACATTCATATTTCTGTAACAGGGATTCCAAATCAATGATTGATTACAACTGAAAACATTCCTATCAATAATCAAATTTGAAGTATTAAATTCTAATCATTAATCATATTCATGTTTTAATGACATCAGTGATTCTGAATCAACAATTACAACTGAAAACATTATAGTCACTAATCACATTCAATGCAAACAAATAATACTCTGCAGAAGAAATTGAAAATGAATTAATTAACCAAAAACATGAATGTACAAATATTTTCATTTAAAACAGAATAATAATCATACAAATATTACTCATCAAATTGAACTCCACATTCTTACTGCAATCAAATCCATCAGCTTTCCCCAAAAGTTGTAAATATCTACAGAATTGAAATGGAAATGAAATAAATGTTAGTACTGAACACATAACACAATAAAATCAAGGGTACATGCATCTTTGTAACACAAATAATGAAACTACTTTCAAGTAGAAAGATGTAAGATTAAATCAATGCATGGAACCAAATTTTTTAGTTTAAACCATGTAACATTTTAATTTAAATAAAAAATACAGTGTATTACCCACCTCATTGGTTTCTTCAAAGATGGGCAAACATGCTTTCAGGAATAGAGCTTCCAGCTTACAATTGGGGTCAATCAACTGTTCATACACAAGAGTAGGTTTGTTTTTCTTCAGAGGCTCCTTGGCTTTCTTACTCGAGCTTGATGAAGCACTCGACTGTCCCTTGTTAGCTTTGATTTTACCTTCATGTAGCTTTGGGGTTTGTGAGTGTTTTCTACTTAATTCTTGCTGACTGAAGAAATATTTGCTAAGATCACATTGTCTGTGAGCTGCACTACATGTAGTATTAGTCTGTCCAGAGTCGCTACCTTGCATGGTGAACATTTTTGCTGCTTGCACTTGGCGTGGAAGTAACAAGGTGATTTCCATAGTCCCAAGGGCCTGAATATTATACTGAGTTTCCACTGTATAACAAGGTAATTTTGCTGCTATTCATGGTCCTCATGTCCTTGTTAGAATTCCTTCTCTTCTATAATTGAGATATATATATGAAACTGACAGTGATAACAAATTTAAGTGAATGATGATATCAAGGTTTTGTTTATCTTTTCACAAGAAAACAGCATATTTGTCTAAACAGAATTCACAATATTCTTCTAGTGCATTTGCTTATACATGTAGTGCAATTTGCATGTGTAAGTACACTAGTTGACTTTGTAAAGAAAAAAGAAGTTAAGTTGTGTAGGTACATCATTCAAATTTAAGAGTACCTGTAGTCAGTAACTTATGTAATACATCTAATCCATTTCACATTTTATTCACTTTGACAATATTAAATGAAAACACCAGTGAAGAGTATATACAAAATAGCTTCTCACATGTAATGCACTTGTATTACTCATGTGAAAGAGCTAAAGCCAAATTAAGTCTTTGTCTGTGCTTCCTTAAAATTTATAAACTATGTGGAAAGCACGGCTGTAGTTCTGGGAAGAGTTGCTTTATGGGTTTCCTTTCAAAACGAATTAATCATCCATAAAAAACAGGCAGACAGCCTTCAGGATTTGGCTTTCAGAATTTTTTTTGTTGACTTTTTGGAAATTGTTACAGATGCAAACGTATGTGCTGGTACAGTGTGTTTCATTTTCAGTGAGTACCTATGTTTTTCCTTCTCAATCAGTCATACATTCACATTTGTAGAAGAAAAATATAAGTAATGTTAGTAGAAATTCATGTTCATAAGTTACAAGTACAAAACGATAACATCTTTAAAGAATGACACTTACATGTAACTGTCAACTAAAATGAGTGATTTGGGATAGAATACAGACTGTCAGACTTAATGTTACGTCAGTTCTCAATTCGTACTGCTTATTGACTGCCATATAATTTGGGAAAATTCCAATGTACAGGGTGTCACTAATATTCATAGCTATGCAGTTTCCAACAACATCATTCGCATCCATAGCGGTTACATTTAGTTCAAGGCGTACACACTGCCTGATGTGAGTGAGATCCGTGTTAGATTCTTCATCAGTAAATGATGCAACTTCATTCATAATCATATACTTAACAAGAATTACACAATGGTTTTGCACAAGAAATATGCTAAGTAATTCACCAACTTTGTTTTCAGATGTAAAGACAAGCTCATTTTTCTTGCCATCGTGCCAGCCCTGTATCCATCAGTACAAAAGAGCACCCCATTTTTTGAAAAGCGACTGTATGCAAGCATAGGAGTGTTTTCATCTATCCTGTGACCCAATGCTGAGTGAGATCCGTGTTAGATTCTTCATCAGTAAATGATGCAACTTCATTCATAATCATATACTTAACAAGAATTACACAATGGTTTTCCACAAGAAATATGCTAAGTAATTCACCAACTTTGTTTTCAGATGTTAAGACAAGCTCATTTTTCTTGCCATCGTGCCAGCCCTGTATCCATCAGTACAAAAGAGCATGCCATTTTTTGAAAAGCGACTGTATGCAAGCATAGGGGTGTTTTCATCTATCCTGTGACCCAATGCTGCTAAAGCATTACACTCAACTTCTGTGCAAAATTTTGTTTTACCACAACCTAAAATGGTAATATTTCCAAAGACTTCATCTAGCATCACCTTTTTCCTTCTCTCATTAATCACTTTTTCACAAAAACATTTTACATGTCGTGATAGCATAGGATACTCAATATACAGAGGCAATGTTTGCAACAATAGAAATTTCCTTGCAACTTGCATTATTATTCCCTGATTTCCATGAAGTTGTTGTTTACAGTGGTCAGCAGCTTCAAATGCAAAACAGGAGCAAGTCCACATTGGGCCCCAAAGACTGACTGACACATTTTGCAAGATGAGTAAGGCAGTGTACATTGTAAGTCATAGCACATGCACCATACAGAATCTGAAACCTACACACATAAGATATCAAGAGGATGTCACTCTTCTCCAATTCATTCATTGATAAAGATTTCTGTAACAAAATAAACGTGGCTTCAACTAAAAGAATGAGATGGTCTAAATACAATGATGGTAAAATCCCCTTTAAACAGGAAACAGAGTAGAAAAGCAGCCACATGTACCACTCAGAAGCTTTCCAATATTTTCTCTCTTAAATTGGTCTTGGAGCTCTTGCTACAAAAGAAGGCGGCTTTATCGCCTTTATTCTCTGATCAATTGCTGAAATAATATTTCTTGACCCTATGTAGTAGTCACAGGTGGTTCGAGATGCGAACCATAATTCAGTTAACTGTCTCATCACACCTAACAATAGACAGTGCATGTAGTCAGGAGGAAACCCCCAGCAAATAGGAAAATAAGACAGATTTACAAGTGGGTTTGGGTCTTTGATTCCTCGCACGGTTCGGCCATCCTCTAGAGACTGATTCATACCTTGCAGCATATCCTGGTCAGTCCTTTCATTATACTCGCATACATCTATTGGATATTTAATAACTCTATCTACGGCTTTACCTGGATGATAACAAAGACCGCATCCATAATAACCATTAAATCTCATACAGTTCTGCATCTAGCAGATCTAGCCGGTGCATCAGCACAGCAACAAATTCCAAAAAATCTGCTATGTTTCAATTCGTCACCTTGTTTCCAAAATACACCTTCTTCTGATAACTTGTTTGCTTCATGTGTAAATTTTTCAAGAAAAATTTCCATTTTCAGCTCACATTTTCTGAACCACACGCCTGCTAAAAGCAAATATTTTGTTCTCAATCTTGGAGGTAGTTCATTTATCATAATATAAATTTGCCACAAGGAATACTTTGAGGAGTGGTAAACTGGAAAGCCGCGCACCAGCATTCAATGATTTTTAAATTTCATATCAATCGTCAATAATCACATTCACTTTCAAGACTTCAATCATTTTCACTTTCAAGACTTTTGGTCATTCCACCATTCAATAGTCGTCCCGCAGCTCATATGTCTGAGCGTCCCGTCATGGTGTGCAGCTAGTGATTTGCTGGCGATCACGGAGTGCTTGAAATGCCCTACCTGGCGGGCACATGCACCACTTGAAGTTTTGAAGGTGTTCGATGAGTGCATTGTCGTGCACGACCGCCGTTATTTTGTCATGTATCTTCCACTCTTCTCATACGCGAAGGAGTTGCGACTTCAATGCCTCCGCAGTGTGGCAGTGTGGCGCTGAGGAATTCGTGTGGCAGTGGCATCTTCTTCGACTGACCGTCATCTTCCTCGAGATCGTCATCTTCCAGACTGGCAACGGGCAAAGTTTCTAGCATGAAGGAGCTCTTCTTCCAGTTCTCTAAGCTTGTCCAGCAATCTGTGCTGAGAGCCAAAGATTCCCCTCTCCGTAATTCTGCTTTAACGTCCTCCTTCATTGTTTCAAACTTCATCTCTATCATGATCGTCTTGTGAGTCAGGATCATGAAGTTGGGTTCGACATGATTGAATAATTTGCGGTAACCATCTCCTTTCATGAAACTAACTGGGATGCCGTTCACCGCAATCATTTCAGCGATAAGAGACGACAGACGTTGTCTGTGACTTGGATCGCAGTCTCTTGCAAATTCCATCATCCTTGGTTGATGTCGATTGTCATGTTTGTCGAGGCTCCTGGGATGACGGCTCTTGATGTGGTTTGACATGCTCCCTGTCGAACCGTACTTGTAGGACAGCGTGCAGGCACATAGTTTACATCGTATTTTGTCGTTTCCTGCCTCTTCAAACCCTTTACAAACGGCGCTTGTCTTCTTCGCCACCTTCGGCATTTTGATGTTTCTGATTGAGAACAGTGAATGACGAGATCGTAGCAAAAATAATTATATTAAACACACCTCAAGCCAAACAGTTCGCAATAAGAAAAAACACACAACAGCAACAAAAAACACTAATCAGCATAATGACAAGCAGATGTATTAGCTTAACGACGGAATATAATTATCAAGAGTTCAAGACGACTAAGCAATACGGAATCCAATGTGAAAGTGATGTATATCCGTGGTTTTGTAAATTGGGAGCCTAGTTATCTAAGCACTTTTATCAAGAAATCGCATCATTCCTGGTGAAAAAACACCACCAAGAAGATTACATAATCGCTCTAATTAGTGTAAACTAATAATTAATTAACCTCTTGCCAATCAATCATAACACCTATCATACAAACCACTGCTAAACTCACTCAGATCCTCTCTCATAAGTCTCCAACTTATATCAATAACCGAGCCCTAAATCAACACAACTCACTCGGTGAAAGTCCAGTGCAAGTCTGCTTGTGTTTTGATTATATCATGCTGTCCATGTGCCTCATGCAAAGTATATTCAAATGAAATACAATATCAACCAATAGTAAAATAGGATTTAAATATAAAACTGAATATTCATAAGGAAAAGGAGAAGAGAACCAATGATAAGCAAGAAGTGGAAATATGCAAAGCATACACACAAGATTCATGAATAAAGAATATAGAGAACAAAAGGAACATACCAGGTGAAATGGACGACTTGGTATGTAGAGAAGATGAATGGAGGAAGGAATTGGGTCAAGTGAATATGTAAGTGAATAAGCAAATGATGTGAAATGAATATGTATAGAGAGAAGAGACTAAAGAAACAAATAGTAATTGTGACAAATACAAGAAGGGAATGAGTCTATTTTTAACTCTTACATTAGCTAATCCGTAATCAGTTTATTTACTTACGTACAACCAAAGGATGACATGGATGACATGGCCCTATTGGATACTGCTCTAATAATGATTTCAGTGTTTCTATCAACTGCTATGTATTCACACTGTCTTGACCATCTGTCCTAAATATTTTTGGGGTTGAAATGAGTTACTTTCAGTTTCAGGCTTAAAAGAATGACAAAAATAGGACTCCTGTAAAAGTTGTTTGTAAGGTTAAAATTGGATAACAACTGAAACAAAGACTGGAAATGAATTGGCGCTAATGCATTGATCGGCATTGACCAGCACCGATTCAAATAATTAAAATTATTAAGGACAACAAAAAAAACAAGATTCATGTGACACTAATAAACTGCAATTAAAAAAAAGGTGTTAAAAGAAACGTGGAAATGATTTAAACAATTAAAAATACTCGGGAGTTAAAACAAAACAAATACGAGACTCGTGCAACACAAACTATCTAAAAATAAAAACGTGGAAATGAATCGGCGTCAATGCGCCGATAGGTGCCGATGCAAATATTAACAAATATTAAGGACACAATAACAGAAATAACACGCCTTTAAAAAA